CCGCATTGCTAAGTCCACGTCGGCGCGGGCGTAGGTAGCACCGTTTAAAACAAGCTGCTTCTTACACGATTGCAGTCCATTACCTGGCACCGTGCTACGTCAGCAGTCGGCCTCCGGACTGGGGGAGATGTTGATCTCTGGCGGGGCGAGGAGAAGTATCGGTGGCGAGATCGTGGCAACAACAGGCTCCATCGTCTTGCGCAAGTAGTCGCATGTCTTTGAGCACGCGTGATCGTGCTGTTGAAGTCAATGCCGTCGAACAGCGAGTCAATTTCGATGTACGCTTGTGCCGACGACGACAGGGTACGCTTGGCGCGCTCGCAGGCAGTACGCAGACGGCGAAGGGCACGTTGGTTTTGGGTCATGTCCTTGCGGTGCTTGCGCTTGAACTCCGCCGTAAAGTGGTCTACCAAGCGGTTGTCGAAGTCTTTGCCACCCAAGTGCGTGTCACCGGCAGTCGCCTTCACTTCAAAGATACCCTCTTCGATCGTCAACAGCGACACATCAAAGGTACCACCGCCCAAATCGAAAATGAGCACATTGCGTTCGCCACCCTTCTTGTCCAAACCGTACGCAATGGCAGCGGCAGTGGGTTCGTTGATGATACGAAGCACATTCAACCCAGCAATGGCACCGGCGTCCTTGGTCGCTTGACGTTGCGAATCGTTGAAATAGGCAGGGACGGTGATGACAGCGTTGTTGACGGTCGACCCAATGTAGGCTTCCGACACTTCCTTCATCTTGATCAACACCATCGACGAAATTTCTTCAGGTTGGAACGTCTTGGTTTCGCCCTTGAATTCCACCGTGATTTGGGGCTTGTCGCCCGCACCGGGGGTGACCTTGAACGGCCAGTGCTTGATGTCGGCTTGGATCACAGGGTCGTTGAACTTGCGGCCGATCAAACGCTTGGCGTCGAACACCGTGTTGGTCGGGTTCATCGCGACTTGGTTCTTGGCGGCATCACCGATCAGGCGTTCGCTGTCCGTGAACGCAACGTACGACGGGGTCGTGCGGTTCCCCTGGTCGTTCGCAATGATTTCCACGCGGTCGTTTTGCCACACACCGACGCATGAGTAGGTCGTGCCGAGATCGATACCGACGCTAGCGCCTTGGACTCCAGACATGATGTTGTTGCTTGCGCAGTTGCTGTCAAATTCAAAAATGCCGTCGTGGCGCCATCGCGGGGCAGTTCGATTTCTCGAACGTTCGAAACTTTCTGGAAATGCATCCCATTTTATTCCTTCTCTTGAAAAATGTATGCAATTTTATTCTCGGTAGTGTGGGTACAGCATCGACGATCTAGAAGGGGCGAGAACGACGACACCAGATATACGTCGACCAGTGGAGCTGCAAGCGCCGCACGCGGTGGGTAGCGCCTCGTGTCGTGCATGCGCGACATGTCGGATGGGCATCCAGAAGATTGCGCAATGCACGCGGCATTGTCCATCGTGATCAACCCGTTCGTTCGTGAGGGCGTTTGGACGAATGCGCCCAGCATGCGCTGTGATCGCGACATGTGCCACCGATCGAGCTCTTCTTAATATTCCAGTCCTTTAGCAGTCGTGCGCAAACGATGCTTGAGGCTGTCGTGATGGTTGACATGGTGCTGGTGCAAGATGCACAGCAGCAAGTATAGGTCGTCGTCAATAGGAGCACTGGTGGGATTCATTTTATTACTTGTAGAATGTATGCAGATTTTTGAATTTTATTTTACGCAGCATCTTGCACGAGTTGCCACACGATCCGATCGCCACCGCGGCCCAAGAGTACCATGGACATCGATGGTGTGTGTACAGGTTTGTGTAGACGGCTCATACGTGCATGCTAGATGAAGTGATTCGACAACGCCTCTTCACCCGAACTACCATGGTGGGGAAGTCCATGATGAAGCGGACGGCGGACTGCCTCTTCTCGTTCCTCGATAGCACGGGGCAGCTCGACCGATACAACGATGAGTTTCTCGCGAACCCTCTTCCAAAGAAGTCCAAGCTGTCGTCCTTGGGGAAGAAACGAGCGCAAGAAGAAATGGACAACTTTCTGTGGGAACTCGAGATGCTGCAAGTCGAAGCCCAGCGCACCAAGCTCCTCGTATTCACATGCGAGCGGGAACTCGAGGCGTATGCGGCGCTCCACGGTGAAATCGACAAGTCCATTGTGGCTGCTACAGCCGAAATCGACCGACTCAAGGGTGTCGTTGCCAACGAGAAGATCATCCGATCGTACAAGGAAGCATACGAAGTTGCTGCCCGCGTCGTGAACGAATTCGCTTCTCCGCAGCAGAGCGCAGAGGTCGTCGAAGGTCTCGAGGACCAGCTGAAATCCTCCAAGGAAGCTCTACAATCCGTCACAGATCGAATTGACGTCAAGTCCAAGGAACTCATGTTGCTACTTCGCGCCATTCGCGACCTCCACAGCGACAATCACGAGATTCCCGACGAAGGCACCAACGACGCCGCAGAGCACGACGACACCGAGCATGACGGCGAGTACGAGAGCAAGCACACAGATGAGCACCAGGAAAAGCGGGCCGCAGCCGAGGCATCTCCGACGGAAGGTGACGACGGTGACGACGCTCCCAAGGACTCTTCGACCAAGTCTCATCGACACCACCACCATCCAGACAATTCGTCTTAATGCTCTTTCTCTACAACTTTGCAAATGTCTTCGTACTCGACTGCCGACAGCATTCGTCCCCTACACAGGTCATGGCTGAGTCATCCCCGTGTGGAGTTGCGTCGGGGTGCCTACTTCTTCGAACCGGACGTGATCTGCACGGCGGCGGAGTACGCACCTTCATCGATCGAGAGCAGCGTGGCGAGCGCTCCACGACCGAGACCATTGACGATGCGCACAGTGCCCCCGACGACGGGAATCACCGTCTCAAGGTCGTCCTACGTTGCCGCCATCATGATCCACACATTTTTTTCATGCCATGCCGCACCTGATCGACCCGAAGAACGTCCCGTGTCTCGAGCATGCGAACTTCCGCCACGTATTTGTCAAGGACTCGAAGAACGACCCCCTTTTGCTTATAGTACGCGCCATCGCCGACTTGTTTGTCCATAACCTTTACAATGAGCCCTTGATCGATCCAGTAGTCGAGGCGATTCACGCGTTCTTCATCTTCGTCTCGCCGCTGCCGCTTCGACGTCTCTTCTGCCATGATCTCGTCCATGGCGCTGCGCTTGCCGCCCTTTGACGGGGGCGGCGGCGCCTTCTCTTCTTCTGCGTTAACAGCATGTTGGCCAAACGCAGGCTGGACTACCACCTTGGACACTTTGGCTTCCGAGGACGTTTTGGGCTTTAAGCTCAGGGTCACTTTGTCGACGCGAGGCTGATGCAATGGTGCGGGCCTGTCGTCGTCGACGCCGTTTCCTTGGCCGAACTTTGCATGTGCCTCTTTCACCTGCGCTTGGATGAAGCGCCGATTGCGCTCTTCGTGATCCAGTAGCGCTTGGTGCTTCCGCTTGAGTTCTTCTTGCCGGGCCATCGCGACGGGGTCGTTGTTGATGTACTGGATGAACCACCCTTTCTCGGTTTCGTCCACGACGCACTTGCCCGTCTTCCCCAAGTACTGAACAAACCCACTCAGCGTCGTCCACCGCGTCGCGTTCATGTGGACGTGGTGCTTGTCGCGAATGTACTCGTTGTAGACGACGTGGGCACTCACGCGTTTGGTTGTGTGCGACCGCCGCAGGTTCTCGAGGAACGCGCGTTCAAACTGTTCACTGTACCCCTGGATAAATTTACTCGGGTTGCTTGCCACGATAAGCATTTGACGCTGATGGGCATCGCTCGACGTATGCGCTTTAAACCCGTTCTCGTCGCGACACTGCTTTTCGCACACTTGGCAGTACCATCGAAGTCGCTGGAGCCCTTTCGACTACTCCACGCACACAAACACGCATTAGACGGAATTCGGAGCCAGTACCCACACACCTTTTGGCGATTCGCCACCGCCTTTGCTGTCATGAAGTCATGCTTGGCCATTCCTCACCGCCGCCGCTGCGAATCCGTCCCAAATTCCATAAACTTATCCGGAAATGCCATATCCGGAAGTTCCGATTGGAACTGGAAGTTTTCCGTACACTCACCTCCTTCGTCCGGATAACTCTTCTATTGATTATCGTTATCCGGATTCATCGGACAACAATTGACAAGGAATGCAAGCGTGCGTCGATGGTGGCGAACATCACGGCTACATGTACATCGACTTCTCGATATGAATGCGTTCAGAATTCCTTCTGAGAGTTTGCGCATTATCATGACAGTCGACGAAGGAAAAGTGCAAGAGCTGGGGGAGTATCGGGTTTGTGTCTTTGTTAAATCTCAATGTCTTGCCGTTGGGGTGGACGAATGTGACGCATGGTCGAGCCAGTGAGTGTGGGTTTGAACGGCGCCGCTTGGCCGTACGGCTTAGGAATCCCGAGTTCGTCGGGAATGTACGCATTCGGCCGTGGCTCGGCCGTGGTGCGTATGATCTGGGATGTGTACGCAGGTCCGACGTTGTTGTTGTTGCCGTGCTTGCCCATGCGCTGGCTTTCCAACGCGAGTCGATGGGATTCGCGGCGGTACCATTCTTGCTCGCACTTGACGTTGGGGGCGTTGCCGTTGTCAAAGTTCCACAACGACTCTTCGTACTCGAGTTGTCTGTCGTGCTTTTCCTGCTGGAGTTTCATTGCCGTCGCCTGGAACATGCTGAGCTCCGACACGGTCGCCATCATCTTGCGAGTCGTCTCCTTAATCTTAAGCTGAAATGTGTTGACCTTCTTCGCGAGTTGCAGCGTGTCCCCGCGGCCCTCGGACGCCTGGGACCGCAGTTTGTCGGACAAGTTCGTCACTTCTTCGAGCACGAGTTCCTTTTCGAGCAACTGCTCCTTCTTCGCATTGTACCTCTCTTCCAAGAATGCGAGCTTGGCGGCTAGCTGGTCCTCGTCAGGGTCGTCGCCCTCCAACGGGCGCCACCGGTCCGCGTTCTTGGGAGTTTCCAAGTCCCGACACATCATCTCGGTCACGATTTGCTCCTGCTTGAGTTGGTTCTGCAACTCGAGAACGCGACTGGCATACTCTGGCACAAGGGGCACCTTCTTTCGCGTCGTTTCAATTTGGCGCTGCAGGTCGAGGAGCTTGATATTGAGCATGCGGCTCTGCTGGTCCTTTTCTTGAATCGCGAGCTCGCCTTCCGTCAGCGTCTTGGTCTGGATGTTGCTCTTCTCGTATAAAATGCACAGCTCGTCGTTGCGGTCAATGAGTTGAACGCCCGTCGAATTCCGCGCTTCGACCGCGATCTCGTACTTCTTCTTGAGCCGGAGCATCTCCTTTTCCGTCATGTTGATGATCGAGTTGAGCTTGTCGATCTGGACGATCTGCTGCTCGACTTGCTCCTGCTTGACGCGGTACAGCTCGTGGCACTTGTTTGTATCGAGGCGGAGGCTGTCGCGGCTGCACTGCGCTGTCTGGTGCGCAAGCCGCTCTTTTGTCAGCGCCTTGTCCTTGGCAAGGCTCTCGTTCCGCAGCACTTCGACTTCGTTGTGCAGGATCTTGATTTTTTCTTTCATCTCGGCCAGCGCCTGCGAGCTCGCCTGGATCAAGTTGACGTACTTGTTGCGCTCGTTCTTGACAATGTCGTACAGCGCACTAAACTCCTTTAGCCGGTTGTTGGTCTCGTTGCACTTTTTGGCAAAGTCGAGAATGACGAGCTCCTTCATCTTGAGCTCCTGCTGGATTTCCTTTTCGTGGTCGATCGCGGACGACGCGGCGCGCGCCTTCATCTCTCTTTGCGCGCTCAGGAGTGTAATCACCTTCTGCTGCTTGATTTCTTCGGCCATCCACTGGCTCAGCTCGTCCTCGAGCTCCTTGACGCGTCCCGTCAGCCTCTCGAGCTCTTCGACTTTGGATTTTTCAACGCCGTCCATCTTGAACATGCGTGCTATTAACACGTCCACGTCTTGCTTCAAGTCTCCCTGGTCCGCCACCATCCGCTTGTTTTCGCTTTGAATCGCGCGAACTTGATGTTCTGCGTCGCTCACTTGGAGTTGCATGTTGGGCAGCAGCCCCTTGGCCGTGTCCGCCGACAGCTGCTTCTTCTTCAGAACCTTCTTCAGTCGATCGTACTCTTTTTGCAGCGAACTCTGACGCTCGGATTCTCGACGAATCATCGCCTCGACGTTGCGCTGGTCCATCTCGAATTTGGCTTTTTCGCCAAGGCGCACCGTGTGGCTGTGCTTTTCTTCGGCCAGGAGCATGTTTACGTGGTCGACGTCCCGCTGGCGCTGGTCGATCGTGTCCCGATGTACGTCGAGCTTGTGATTGAGGACTTTCTGCACCTCGTCCGCCTCCTTTCGTTTCTCGTCCTGTGTCGCCAAGGCCGTATCGACTTCACTCAATTTGGCTTTGATGCGCTTGATCTCACCCTCCAAGTTTTCCACGGCCTTGGCCACCACATCAGCTTGCTTGCTAATACGTTCGGGGTCCCCCTTGAGTTTCACGAGCACTTTCTTCTCGGCGGCGCGGGACACGTCGAGCCCATCGTTGGCCACGCGCAGTACGTCACAGCGCGTGAGGAGCTCCTGCTTTCGCCGCTCTTCCTTGTGTATTTCGCTCTCTGTCCGTGTTGCTTCGTCGCCCAAGTGCGCGATGTCGTCTGTGATCTTGCGCACCTCCGGCTCGACCTGCCGGGCGTTTTCCCGCAACATTGCTTCTTTCCGTGCGAGCAACTCGGCATGCTCCCGCTGGAGCTCGGTGATCTCGTACGTGAGAATGGTTTCTCGATCCACGCAGTCTGCAAGTTCCTTGGTCGCCTTGTCCTTCTCCTTCTCCAGATTTGTGTTCATCGCCAACTCCTCGCTCTTCCGAATGCTCTGTTTCTCGAGACGGATCTTCTCGGACAAGAGCTCTCCGTTCAGCTGCTTCGCCTTCTTCAACAATTCCTTCTCGCGCTTGTACGTTTCCAAAACATACGAAGATAACTTGTTGTATCGTTCCTTGTGGGTGGCCGCGGCTGCCGCCGTGAGGATTCCATCCTCTACATATTGGTCGATCACATGAAGGGCGGCGCTGTTCGAGTTCGTCACGGCTGCTCCATCGATATCACTACTCGGTGGCGCTGCATCACTCATGGCCAGTCGAGACGAAGACGCCAACCCGCCGCTTGCGCTCCCTCTAGATGAGCCCACAAGTGTCGAAACCGATTCGAGTGAAACGGAAGGAGACACGCTTCGTTTGAAACACGTTTGAAACATTTGAAATCACAACGATCCCATTCAAATCAGGGTCCCAAGCAGGCAAAGCATTGAGGGGGTGTGACCTCTTCAATATCAAGAATATTGTGGCAAAAGCACACTGTGGTTGTGCAATGAAGGAACACTTGATGAGGCAGCCTGCCTCGTGTTCTGGGTTTCGACGTGCGCTTGATGAGTCGTTTCAAACGGTTTGAAATTGTTTGCACATGTTCGAAACCCATGTTGGACTTTATCCGGATGATTCGCTCCAAAATGTCTTCATTTCTTGAAAGGAGAGGCGGGGAAGGAAGCGGAGGCCGATCAAGATGGAGAACGAACCCAAGGTGGAGCCCGTGGAGAGGGAGATGGACGTGTCTTCCCTTGCGCAGTTGGTCCTGGACATCAGCTGCGCCTTCCTGCAGATTGGAAAGTCCACGAGGTTAACCAGTGACGATGGCGACTTTTTCGCGGTGGAAGCCGAGGCCTTGGGGCTTGAAGTGGACGTTCTGCGGCAATTTATCCAAGAGTCGCACTTGCGTGTGCTGCGAGTGCTTCGGCGCGATAGCGGAGACGGAGTGAAGCTGTCCCTAGAAAGTGGGGAGAAGGACAAGCCCAAAGCGAAGCGGCAGAAAGTCCCGACCTTTTGCCTCATCAAAACGTTGAAAACACGCGAAAAACTCACGCAAGGGACGCCGTTGAATTCCCAACTCCAATTGGTGACGTTGGGCACGGAAGACATTGGGACCTTGGTGACCTTCGTTCAGCATTCGTTTGCCCCTCTCTTGCAAGCTCAAGAAGGCAATGAAGACGACCATGGGAGCGGCTTTTCCAGTCAAAACAAGCGCATGCCACTCATCCGAAAACGATTGAAGGAGTTGGAAGTGGCAATGGTGCAGTTCCAGAACAATATTGAGATTCCCGACGTGGACTTGAAGATTCACCCCGACATCCAAGCAGCCGCCGACGCGTGGCGTGGCTCCAAACAAACGGGAAGCATTGACGTGGACGCGTTGGGGTTTACGGACCGGCTGAACGACACAGCCTTTCTCAACGACATCCAAGCGGGAGTGAACGGTTGGATTAAGGAGATTCAAAAGGTCACAACGTTGGTGCACGAGCCGGTGGGGGCGTCGTCAACCCAGGAAGTAAACTTTTGGTGCGATTTGCACCGCGCTCTTCTGGCCACCCAAGCTAAGTTGACGTCGGCAGAAGTTGAGATCACTTTGGCGATCCTCAAGCAAGCCAAGCGATACCTAGTTACGGTAACGTTTGCGGCCGACCACGGCCTCGGTGGTGCCTTGAAAACTGTTACAAGCGTCATGAACTTGATGAAGGACTTCAGTCTGAATGCGATTCTGTCCGCGACAGACATCACCCAGACCACTCAAGGGATCAACGCTGTCTACTTACAGCTGAAAAAAGTGCGTCTCGCCGATGAGTACAAATTGAGCCGCGTGTTGTCACTTGTGGAGCTCATCTCGACCGACGTCAGCGTCCAAGTGACGACGGTGCTGCGATCGACAAATCTGTTTCAAATCGCCTACGACCAATTCGATGTGATTGCAAAGCAGTGCCAAGAGCTCTTCCTGACGTGGCACCGCCAACACCACGCGTTCCATGAACTCGTTAAGGATTTGAGCAAACGTCGAGGCACCGCCGCATCAGACAAGGTTAGTTCGTTGGCCGAGATGCAGCTCGACCACTTGGCGATCGAGGAGCGCATGAAGGAACTGCATGAATTTCGAGAGCAGCATGAACGCTTGCGCGTCGTGATTCAGCGCGTGCTGTCCAAAACCGACGACGCGTCCGCGACTTCCTCCGAAGACATGCTGGCCGAGATCCACAATGCCTACATGCAATGTACATCGCTGGATGTGTTTGACGTGTCGGTGGACGGGTCCGACGCTTGGAAGCAAGCGCGAAAAACGTACGATCTGTGTATCGACCGCGTGGAAGGCAGCATCATCCACAGCCTCACGACGCGACTGAACAACACGTCGACAGCCGACGACATGTTTCGCGTGTTTTCAAAGTACAACCCGTTGTTCTTTCGCCCTCGCATTCGCACCGCGGTGCAGCAGTTTCAAATGCGCTTGATTGAAAATGTCAAGGAGGACGTGACCGAGCTCCAAGCCAAGTTTCGCGCACACTACAACTACTCGGAAGCGTCGCGCATGAGCAAGCTTCGTGACATTCCGCCGATCGCTGGGGCCGTCATGTGGAGCAAGCAAATTGAGCGCAAGTTGCACATGCTGTTGTCACGCGTGGAAAGTGTGCTGGGCAAAGGTTGGGAGCAACACGTCGAAGGCAAAGCACTCAAGCAAGTGTCGGACGCGTTCTTGAGCAAGCTTGATGCCCAGTTGATTTTTGACCACTGGGTCAACGAACTCGTATCGGTGCCAACGTTTGACGTGCGCAACATTATTCTGAACATTGTGTCCAAGAAGCAGTCCCACCAGCTTGGTCCTGGCGCGATCGCGAACGAAGACGGTCTCGAGCGAGAACTGAACGTCGCGTTCAACCACCAGATTGTGACGCTGTTCAAGGAAGTACGCAACCTCGAGTGGCTCGGGTATCGAGTGCCATTTACGTTGAAAATGATTGCTGAAGATGCCAAGGAAAAGTATCCCCACGCCATGTCTCTGGACGCAAGTCTGAAAACGTATGCGAGCGTGTGCAAGCGTATCAAACCTTCGTTTGAGACACTGAGTGCATCATTTGTCCGAGAAGTCCGCACGACTATCGCCAAAACCTTCACAAAGGACAACGAAATCCGGTGGCATGCTGACCACTTGGGCGAATACGCCCTTGATTTGGCAACCAAAGTGGAGACGCTCAGCGACAAAGTGGATGAGTTGTGGCGCAAGCAGCACGAGATTGAACAATACGTCGAATCGATGCGTCAGCCAAACACTCCCGACAACATCATTGACGTGCCGACGCTTCAAGCGGCGCTGGAAGGTATTCAAAAGAACGTGGACGAGCTCAACTTAGCGGGATATTCGAACTTGCACATCTTTGTGAAGCAGTTGAATAACACGATCGCCCAAGTTCTGGCGGATCGATTGGAGCGCGGGTTGCGTCAGTGGGTCCACATGTTTACGTGTGAAGGAGACAACGACATCAAATTGCCCTCATACGGAAGCGTAACGACGGTCCATCAAGTACTGCTGAAGAACCAGCTCCTCGTCCTGGAACCGTCGGTGGACCAAGCGCGATCACAGTGGCTTGGCGAGTTGGAGCGTATGGTGGCCTCCGTGTGCAACCTGGACAAAATCAATAGCGCCACTTATGATGCATTCAAGCCTGCGTCGACCTCGACCTTGGCTCCATCGCCAGTGCGCCGGCGCCAAAGACGAAAGGAAAATTGTTTCCAAGACGTTATGACGTTGCTGCCTTCAGGTCTATTGGTCCAAGCTTACGACACGTTGCTCCACAACTTGTATGCGATGGATCAGTACGTGCTCACATGGCTACAATACCAAGCGCTCTGGGACATGGATTCCCAGCGAGTGATTGCCAAGGTTGGCAATGATATTGGCCAGTGGCAACAACTCTTGGTTGAAATTAAGGAAGAGCGCACCAAATTCGACACCGTGTCCCACACAAAGCGTTTTGGTCCAATTGTTGTCAACTTCCAGCAAGTCCAGGCCCAAGTCAACGTCAAGTACGACGTGTGGCACACAGAATTCTTGACATACTTTGGTGACATGCTGAGCAATCAAATCTGCGCTTTTTACACCGAGGTGTCGACGAAACGTACGCAGTTGGAGCAGCATACCCTGGAGGCCGCCACGTCTCAAGTGGTTGCCACGGTCACGATGGTCCAAGAATTGCGAGCCAAGGTTGAGATGTGGCAGGCCCAAATGGAATCGTTCGGAAGTGGCGAGAAGATCTTGAAACGCCAGCGATTCAAGTTCCCGTCAACGTGGCCCGAGCTGGCCAACGTCGAAGGAGAATGGGAAGCTTTCCAGCAACTTCTCAAGCGAAAGACAGATGCGATGGAGAGCCAGTTGCCGCAATTGCAGGCCAAGATCATGGACGAACATCACAGCTTGGTTGTGAAAATTCAGTCGACAATATCAGACTGGGACGCATCCAAACCATTGCAAGGCGGTGTCGTGACTCCAAAAGTTGCGTTGGAACGCATTGTGTTGTTCGACTCTCGGCTGACGTTGTTGGCCCAAGAAAGCAAGAAAATGGATGCAGCTCGTAAAGCATTGAACTTGGTTGGTCGAAGCGGGGACTCCAGCGACTTTGACTCGTTGGAGCGCACGATGGACGAGCTAGGTGGACTACGAGAGGTGTGGGAGCAACTAGCAACAGTGTGGACGCGTCTCGATGAGTTGAAGGACACTCTCTGGAGTGCTATCCAGCCCCGCAAATTGCGCAAGCAACTCGACGATTTAATCGACACGTTGAAAAGGTTTCCGGCTCGCATGCAGCAGTACGAAGCGTTCGACTACTTCACCAACACGATTCAGTCGTACAAGACCATCAACGGCCTGCTATCTGACTTGAAATCCGACTCGATCCGCGAACGTCATTGGAAACAAATTCTGCGGTTGCTCCACGTGACGTCGTCGTTTACCGAGTTGAGTCTGCGCCACTTGTGGGACGGCAAGCTAACGCTTCACGACACGTCGCTGAAAGAGATCATTCGTACTGCCCAAGGTGAAATGGCTTTGGACGAATTCTTGCGTCAAGTGTCGGAACACTGGACGACCTTCTCACTCGACTTGGTGAATTACCAGAATCGATGCCGCATCATTAAGGGGTGGGACGATATGTTTGCAAAGCTCGACGAACACTTGAACAGCTTGCAAAGCATGAAACAAAGTCCTTATTACCGCGTGTTTGCTGAACAAGCTGAGAGCTGGGAAGACCGTCTGACAAAGGTGCAGTCGATTTTTGATTTCTGGATCGACGTCCAGCGGCGCTGGGTGTATCTGGAGGGTATTTTCTTTGGGTCTGCAGACATCAAGCAACAACTGCCCAAGGAATACACGAGATTTCAGAGCGTCGACAACGAGTTCGTGTCCACGATGAAGCGCGTGAGCCACAAACCGCTCATTTTGGAAGTGAGCAGCATTCCCAATCTGTATCAATCCCTAGAGAGACAACAAGACATGATGGGCAGCATTCAACGAGCTTTGGGCGACTACTTGGAGCGCCAACGCGCCGCGTTCCCTCGTTTTTACTTTGTCGGGGACGAAGATTTGCTTGAAATGATTGGGAACAGCAAAGAACCCAAGCAGATTCAACGCCATTTGAACAAAATGTTTGCTGGTATCGCCGCGTTCGAAATGGTCGACAACAACGTCATCACAGGCCTCGTATCCAAGGAGGGCGAAGTTGTGCGTCTGCAAACGCCAATAAATCCTAAAGACGATGCGCGCATTAACGTGTGGCTGGCTCAAGTCGAGACTGAAATGCGGATGACCCTGGCGTTATTGTTGGAAGATGCCATGGCCAAGATCGACCGCGTGAACTATCTTGATTGGATTCGACAGTACCCAGCGCAGATTGTCCTATTGGCAACCCAAGTCCAATGGACGACCAAGATGGAACAAGTCCTGAAGGCCAGGTCCAACGACTTTTCCAGCGTCGCGGCACACGTTGAACAAGTCCTGCAAATTCTCAGTGAAAAGGTCCTGTTTGATTTGCCCCAAGATACGCGCAAGAAGTACGAGCAGCTCATCACGGAACTGGTCCACCAGCGCGATGTCAGTCGTCGTCTGAACAATGTGAAACTCAATGGCCCGGATGACTTTCAGTGGCTGTACCACATGCGCCACTACATGTTTCCCGCCGAAGTGGATCCGCTCAAGAAGCTGCGTATTTGCGTCGCGAATGCACAGTTCTCGTACGGGTTTGAGTACTTGGGCGTCGGTGAACGGCTCGTTCACACGCCGTTGACGGAACGATGCTACTTGACGTTGACCCAAGCGTTGGACTTTGGCATGGGCGGGAACCCGTTTGGCCCGGCTGGTACGGGCAAAACTGAAAGTGTCAAAGCGTTGGGGATGCAGCTGGGGCGGTTTGTCCTCGTGTTTAACTGCGACGAGAATTTTGACTTCCAAGCGATGGGTCGTATCTTTGTGGGGCTGTGTCAAGTGGGTGCATGGGGCTGCTTCGACGAGTTCAATCGACTTGAAGAGCGTGTGCTGTCCGCCGTGTCGCAACAGATTTTGACCATCCAAGCTGGCCTATCCCTAAAAAAGAAACAGGAACAAACCAGCAATACCCTGATTGAGCTCCTGGGAAAATCTGTGCTACTCCACCCTGACGTCGGGATCTTCGTCACGATGAATCCGGGATACGCCGGCCGATCCAACCTCCCGGACAACTTGAAACAACTCTTCCGAAGCATTGCTATGGTTGCCCCCGACCGCGAACTCATCGCACAAGTGATGCTATTTTCCCAAGGCATCACAACTGCTGAATTCATGGCAACAAAGGTTGTCTTGCTCTTCAACTTGTGCGAAGACCAGCTTTCAAAGCAACCGCATTATGACTTTGGCCTCCGCGCGCTCAAAAGTGTCCTTGTGAGTGCTGGCCACGTCAAGCGTTCGTTAACTACGTCGGATACGACGTCTACGAATGTCGCAAGCATTGAAGCTGAAGCTCTGATTCGATCCATCTGCGACACGATCGTTCCCAAGTTGGTCGCGTCGGACGTGCCCATATTTGAAACCTTGCTGCAAGGTGTGTTCCCTGGCACAGATTTGCACCAAGTGAATGAACCCAAGTTGCGCGAAAAGATTGTCCAGTTGGCCACGTCTCGCCAATTCATTCCCCATGACAAGTGGGTTGAGAAGGCGCTCCAGTTGTATCAAGTCATGCAACTGCGCCACGGTGTCATGCTCGTGGGGCCAAGTGGCATGGGTAAAACGAGCGCGTGGACTGTTCTCCTGGACGCGCTCGAGCAAATTGATGGCAAGAAGGGCGAAGCTTATGTCATCGACCCCAAAGCGTTGTCCAAGGAACAATTGTATGGGACACTCGACAACACGACGTTGGAATGGAGCGACGGGATCTTTACCCATTTGCTCCGCCAGGTGCTCAACAACGTTCGTGGGGAGAGTGAGAAGCGCCATTGGATTGTGTTTGACGGTGATGTTGACCCTGAATGGGCCGAGAACTTGAACTCTGTACTCGACGACAATCGACTGTTGACCCTTCCGTCGGGCGAGCGCCTCGAGATTCCGTCGAATGTATGGATCATGATGGAGACGGAAACGTTGAAGTATGCGACTCTGGCCACAGTTAGTCGATGCGGCATGGTGTGGTTTGCTCGCGACACTTTGGACACTGTTCACGTGATGCAGCATTTCCTTAAGAAGTTGGCGCAAGACAGCTCGCAGCGGTCGTTTTACTCGATGCAGGACGAAGAGTGGGCGACTTTTCAGGTGGCACAAGTCAAGTACATCGAGTTGTTGGAGCAATTGTTCTCGTCGTCGCTGCTCGTCACGAACTGCTTGGATTTTGCCATGCAACTGCCTCATATCATGGAAGTGGACCGCTTGCGTTTGCTCATGTCGATGTTTTCGTTGTTGTCCAAGGGGTTGGTCCACATTGCTGAGTACAACGAACTTCACATCGACTTTCCCATGTCCGCGGATCACCTTGAGTCGTTCTCGCCGAAGTGGCTCGTGTTTTCAATTCTGTGGGGGTTAGGCGGGTCTCTTGATAACCCCAGTCGTGTGAAGCTGGCCGAGTACCTCACTAGTGTCAACACGATGATCCCGTTGCCGTCGCTCACGTCCGAGGCATCAAGTCTGTTGGACTTTGAGGTTCAAGTCAAGGACGGTGAATGGAAGCCATGGAGTTATTCGGTGCCAACGTTGGAGCTGGAAAGCCATCGTGTCTTGGCCACCGATGTGGTCGTGACAACGGTCGACACAATTCGACACGTTGAAGTTTTGCGTGGTTGGCTGCATCAACATCGTCCGCTCATTCTGTGCGGTCCGCCTGGCAGTGGCAAGACGATGACGTTGACCTCCACGCTCAACTCACTTCCGGAATTTGAGCTCGCGAGCTTGAATTTTTCGTCGGGTACCAACCCCGAGTTGATCTTGAAGACGTTTAGTCAGTACTGCGTGTACAAAAAGACCCCTCAAGGCACAGTCTTGACTCCACATGCCCCGGGAAAGTGGCTCGTCGTGTTCTGCGATGAAATCAACTTGCCCCAAGCTGACAAGTACGGGACCCAGCGTGTCGTGACCTTCCTCCGCCAACTCGTCGAACAAGGTGGGTTCTGGAAGGACAAGGTATGGGTCCACCTGGAACGCATCCAGTTTGTCGGAGCGTGTAACCCGCCGACGGACCCCGGCCGTGTACCGCTATCTTCGCGCTTCCTTCGCCACGCCCCCGTTTTGTTCGTGGACTTTCCAGCCTACAGCTCTCTCAAGCAAATCTACGGCACATTCAACCGGGCACTGCTCAAGTTGACACCCTCGTTGAAGGCATTCCACCAACCTTTGACAGACTCGATGGTTGAAATCTACATGAAGAACCAGACGAAGTTTACGGCTGAGTCGCAGCCCCATTACATTTACAGCCCACGCGAACTCTCTCGATGGATGCGTGCCATGTATGAAGCCATTGAGCCGCTTGAGTTTGAAATTGACGTTGAGACGCTGATCAAGCTGCTTTTCCACGAATCTCTTCGACTGTTTATGGATCGCTTGGTGATCCCAGAGGAGCAGGCGTGGTGCTTTCACACCTCCAAGGATGTCCTGCGACAGCATTTCCCTCCCACTGCAGCGGTGGCAGCGTTGGAATCATCGTCGCAGCCGATTTTGTTCAGCACATGGTTGAGTAAGTACTATGTCCAAGCCACGACAGACGACCTGCGAAAGCATATCGAAGCACGCCTTCGCGTGTTTTATGAAGAGGAGCTCAACGTGCCTCTCGTCGTGTTCGATTCGGTGATCGACCACGTGTTGCGCATCGACCGTGTCCTGCGCCAACCACTCGGACACTTGTTGTTGGTAGGTGAGAGCGGTGCCGGTAAGACTGTTCTCTCGCGCTTTGTGAGCTGGATGAACGGCATGTCTGTGTTCCAAATCAAACTCACGACCAACTACAACCTGAACAACTTCGACGACGACCTTCGTGTGGTGTTGAAGCGATGTGGTTGTGACGGCGAAAAGATATGTTTTATTTTTGACGAATCCAACGTGCTCGACGCTGCGTTCTTGGAGCGCATGAACGCCCTGTTGGCGTCTGGGGAGGTTCCTGGTCTTTTTGAAGATGAAGAACACGTGTCACTCATGCACGCGTGTCGCGAAGCGATTCGTCGCGACAACGTCACTTCGATCGAAAACACGGAGGACGAACTATTCAAGTACTTTACTCGCCAAGTACAGCGCAACCTCCACGTTGTGTTTACGATGAACCCTGCCAGTGGTGACTTTCAGAGCCGATCCAAGACGTCTCCGGCTTTGTTCAATCGATGCGTCGTCGACTGGTTTGGCACCTGGTCCGACCACGCCCTCGGTCAAGTCGCCCATGAGTTCACCATGTCGCTAGACTTGGGGCATCAGGAACAAACGTACCAACTGCCTCTAGCTGCCAAACCCATCGTGGAATCGCTCAAGCTGGGAGCCCACACATTCCACGACGCCATTGTCGCGAGTGTTGTCCAGTTCCACCACGCTGTGCTGCAAACTATGCAACGCCTCGCCAAGCGCCATGCCAAGTACAACCACATTTCTCCCCGTGATTATTTGGAGTTTATTCGGCATTTCGTCGGCCTATACGGCAAGAAGCGCAGCCAGTTGGAAGACCAGCAACTGCACTTGAACGTTGGTGTTGACAAGTTGGTCGCCACGCACAACCAAGTCGCGGAGCTCCAACTCGAGTTGAGTGCCAAGGAGCGCGAACTCCACAAGAAAGATGTCGAAGCAAATGAAAAGCTTCAACTCATGGTCGTCGAGCAAAATGAAGCGCAGCTCAAAAAAAAGGACACGGAAGTCCTCGCGGCAGATTTGGCCAAACAAGATGAAGAAATCAGCAAGCGCAAGCTTGTCGTGGAGCACGACTTGTCCCAGGCCGAACCGGCGTTGTTGGAGGCGCAATCGAGCGTGAATTCGATTCGAAAAGCCCAGCTGGATGAAATCCGAGCGCTGGCCCGCCCGCCAAATGCCGTACGATTGACGCTTGAAGCGGTCGCGATTATGCTTGGAGAAGCGAGTTTGGACTGGGCCGATTTGCGCAAATTTATCCGTAAAGACGACTTTATTGCGTCGGTCGTGCACTTCGACTCTGAAAAGTTGACGGCCAAGCAGCGTTCGACCATTCAAAAGGACTACATGAGCAAGACAGACGAGTTTGACTATGAAAAGGTCAACCGAGCGTCCAAGGCTTGTGGCCCGCTTTTCAAGTGGGTCGTGTCCCAGCTGAACTACACGGAGATTTTGCACAAGATTCAACCCCTGCGCAATGAAGTGCGAACACTGGAAGAACAGAGTGCCGGATTGCGCCAAGAGTTCACAACCGCGTCCGAGACGATTCAGTTGCTAGAGCAACGCATTCAAAACTACAAGCAAGAGTACGCAGCGCTCATCAGTGAAGCCCAATTGATCAGTTCCGACATGGCCATGGTCAAGAAGAAGGTGGAACGATCCGTATCGTTGCTCCAAAACTTACTTGTCGAACGCGAACGGTGGGAAAAAGGGTCCAAGGAATTCGAAACCCAAATGGAAACTCTGGTCGGCGACACCTTGCTTAGTGCCGGATTTCTCACGTATTTGGGGTTCCTCGACCATCAACAACGCAAATTGCTCGTGGAAGACTGGCGCGATGTGTTGCACACGATGCAAATCCCCAGCACACCTGGCCTGAGCTTTATCGAGTACTTGTCACAACCATCGCAGCGCCTCGAATGGAGTGCAAGCGACCTCCCATCCGACTCGTTGTGCGTCGAAAACGCGATCATACTGGCGCGTTTCCACCGTTTCCCGTTGATAGTGGACCCGTCCGGCCAAGCGGCGCGATTCATGCTCAACTATTTCAACTCAAAAGCGTCGTCGTCAGCGTCCAAGATCACACAGACGTCGTTCTTGGACGCGTCCTTCATGAAAATATTGGCCAGCGCCATTCGCTTTGGCACTGCGTTGTTGGTGCACGACGTGGAGAGCATCGATCCGATTCTGAACCCTGTATTGAATCGAGAACTATATAAGACGGGTGGACGCGTTCTCATCCGTCTCGCGGGAGAAGAAATCGACTACTCGCCCGACTTTCGTCTCTTCCTCCTCACGCGCGACCCGTCCTGCCGCTTCTCGCCCGACATTTGCTCCCGCGTAACGTTCGTCAACTTTACTGTGACACCAAGTTCATTAGAAAGTCAAAGTTTGGCGCTCTTGCTCAAGAGCGAGGAGCCCGAAATCGACGCCAAGCGCTCTTCCTTGCTCAAGCTCCAAGGCGAGTACTATGCGAAACTTCGTGAATTGGAAGACGCCTTGCTGCAACATATCAACAGTGTCCAAGGAAACATTCTGGACGACGACCGTGTCATTCTCGCGCTCGAAAGCATGAAAGCTGAGAGCGCTGATATTACGAAGCACGTCCAAGACACCCAAGTGATCATGGAGAACATGGAGCAAGCCACGGCTCGTTTTCAGCCGCTCGCGAAGGCCTGCACGCAACTCTTCTTCACGTTGGAAAACCTTGGCCAAATCCACTTTTTGTACCAGTTTTCACTCACGTTTTTCCTTCAAGTATTGACCAAGGTACTAGCGAGTCGAGAAGTTGCTTCTGCTGCTCAAAAGCACTCGCGACTCGAGTTCATCGGACAGCAACTCTTCCGCCATGTTGCCCGCCGCGTATCCAAGGGAATGCTGCAAGAAGACAAGCTCATGTTTGCCCTTCGGTTGGCTCAAATTTATGTGGAATTGAACAAGGGTGTCGAAGGTCTCCCAAGTCAAGCAGAATTGGACGTGTTTTTTGGACGATTGGGGCCACCCACCAAGGTATCGTTGCCGGAGTTTGCTGTTGCTGAAGAAACTGTTGATCGCCTGGGGCGGCTGGCCAGTTCGTCGGCGTTTGCACCTTCGCTGCTGGCTCATCTGGAGCCGCACAAAGACTTGTGGGAAACGTTCTTGAACCACACGACACCTGAACTGCATGTTCCTGTGCAATGGGACGGGGACAGCTCCTCGGAGCCATCGGCTGCCTTCCGTGACCTCTGCCTCGTTTCCACCACCCGACCGGATCGTTTGCCATTTGCTGCGGAGAAATATATTGTCCACGTGTTCGACGACCCATCCTTCCCATGGCGTGGCGATGTCGAGTTCCGCCACGAAGTCGAGTTTGAAACGGAGAGTTCTCGAGGTATCTTGCTCTGCTCAAAACCTGGGTTCGACGCGAGCTCTCGCGTGGACGAACTTGCATCAATCTTGAACAAGAAATTGTCGTCCGTCGCGATGGGATCAGCCGAAGGCTTTGACGTAGCCGAGAAGGCGCTCAACACGGCTATCAAGCAAGGCACGTGGCTCTTGCTTCGAAACGTCCACCTGTGTCCGTCCTGGTTGCTAACTGTGGAGAAGAAACTGTACAGTGTTCGGGAGTCGAGCCACAAGGACTTTCGCCTGTTTCTCACGAGCGAAATTCACCCCCAGCTGCCTGTCAACCTGTTGCGGCTGTGCGATGTATATGTGTTTGAACCCCCGAGCGGCGTCAAAGCCAGCATGCAACGATCCCTCGAAGACTTGTCCAGCGACCGCATCAATAGAGGCCCGACGGAACGAGGCCGCCTCTTTCTCCTCCTCGCGTGGTTCCATGCGATTGTGCAAGAACGGCTGCGTTACGTCCCGATCGGGTGGTCCAAGGCGTACGAATTTTCCCAGAGCGACTTCCGCGGGGCGTGTGACGTGCTCGACCTCTGGGTGGACAGCATTGGTCATGGCCGCGCTCACATTTCGCCCGACGCGATTCCATGGACCGCGATCAAAGTGATCTTGAAGGAGTCGTTGTATGGCGGTCGCGTCGACAATAAGTATGACCAGCAGCTCATGGATACGCTGTTGGACAACGTGTTCAATTCGGACAGCTACGAGAACAACTTTCACCTGGTAAAGCCTCATGGCGGTGACAACGGGCTCGTGATCACCCAAGGCAAGACGAAAGAGCAGTTTTCGGAATGGATCGCAAGCCTCTCCAATTCGAATTCGCCCGTGTGGCTTGGACTGCCCACGTCGGTCGAGAGGATGATTGTCATAAACGAGGGCCACCGTACGCTGCGCCATCTTCAACAGTTGCAGGATGGTATTGACAGCATTGACGAGGGCGACGACGAAGGGACATCCTCCATGACGTTTGGCAACAGTGCCGCCGGTGATTCCCGCCCTGCTTGGATTCAAGCTCTCCATCGAAAGGTCCAGACGTGGCTCAGTCAACTGCCCACAGATCCGATTACCGTCAAAGAAGCTGCTTTTAGCAACCCGATCTATCGTTGCTTACACCGTGAGATGGATCTGGGCAACAAATTGCTCGCCACCATCACGACCCTGCTCCATGACATTGAGAAGGTCTGCACTAATTCGGTCAAACCCACGAACGCCGTGCGCGAAGCGATGCGGACGCTGCACCAAGATTACTTGCCCGTCGACTGGCTCAACATGTACCCCGTCCCAAGAGACATCACGCTGCATGAATGGTTGGACGATTTTGCCAAGCGGCTCGCCCAACTTCGTCAGTTGACGTCGCTGCCATTGCAAGACGTGCTATCTCATGGTGTTTGGGTGGGTGGGTTTTTCTCGCCCGAGGCCTTTCTCACTGCCACTCGTCAAGTTGTATCGCGGGAGATGCAGTGCTCGCTGGACGAGTTGGAACTCGTTGCGTCCATTACCAAGACCCACGGCGGAAGCTTTGCCGTCTCGGGCTTCCACTTGGAAGGCATGGCATGGACAAATGCAACGGACGGGTTCGCGACAACGGATGCTCTCGAATCGCCGCTTCCTGCTTTGTACCTGTGCTGGCGCCACTCAAAGGACACGGCAACGTCGCCGTCGTCGCGCAAATTACCCGTCTACTTGAACGCCCAACGCCTCGTGATTCTGTTCGAAGTGTCGGTGGACATTCCGCCGTCGGACACAACGCCGCCCCATGTCTGGTCCGAACGCGCCGTCGCGTTCACTGCATGGAAGCTCCAAGCCTAACGACCGCGAACGACTTGCTGCCTATTTTTTCTCTGCCAACTACACGTTCGTTCGAGAGGTGCATCGCTTCGAATGCAAGGCGCAGCGGTGTCTCGACATGCAAAGAGTTTAACTTTCAAAAACACTTGATCAAACTCGTTCCAAGTTGAACGGTACATCCGCCTTGAACCGCTGAAAAGAATGTTGAGGAAAGCCCGCGTCCATGTCAAAGGTCATGAGTGAATTCGTCATCTCGATGTCGATGATGACAGCGTCAAGCCACGTCTGTGCTCAAAGCCAGCACTTGGATGAAGCTAGCATGAGCCCGCTGTGACGAAAACACTTGGCATTTTGAACAGACGACTACCTGCAGCCACGTCGTGTGGGCAACATTGGGTCGATCTGGCGATGGGGACGACATCCGCGAGAGCCCCGCCGAGTTGGGTGTATCGTCGTGGTGGCTTTGTCGTGGCTTTGGTGCCACACTGGTCGAATCAACCAGGTCTTTCCCCGGCTTCAAAACTCCGACGTGTGGGGCATGGACCCGATCGCACGACGATTTCAAGCATGCAGGATGTTCTCACTCGAAAACAATTCAAGGCTGTGTCAAACGGCACACCATCGATACGGTCGACTGCTTTCTTCCACTGGTGTCGACAACGCGTCGACCAGTTGAAACATTTACCTACACGAGTCATACAAGGTTGCGTGGTGGGGATGGTGCTGGAGGTCATCCGCACCGTGACCAGCGCTTCGTGAGCCTGCGGTAGAGCCGTTGCTGCGACGTACAAGGCTACCATGGCCGCCCGTGGAGGGCATTGTTTGGACATGAAGTACGCCAACTGGACCACGCATACGACCTTGTTCACCACAGAACCTTCTCGGTCGCATCTACTTCTACCGTGCTCCATCAGTGCGCGCCGCCAAGACCAAGAAGCATCTGCGTCGACTTTTCAGGCTATCCACTGAGATGAGGGCTACGCCCACCACAGCCAATGTCGTCAGGGTGTGCCAGAGACTCAAGTGATGCACAAGATGGGCCAGTGGAGCGACGTTTGTTTCCCGACACTGAAGGTGTCAAGCAAACGTGTTATTCGTGCACAGCATCTTGATGAGCTCCAGCTTGATCCGTTCGTGGCAGTTGCGCTGCACGCCGTCCACAAGATCTGCCGCGCTCCCGGCTGCCAAACGCGTGGCCAAACTGTGTATGAACAGTTGACGAACAGTTCTTTGACGGGGCACCGATGTCGATGAAGTGCGTGCGACTCAACTACCGCCTTGTGCGACGGCACCCACGAGTCGTCGAGACGGCATGCGGAGCGACACTCGCTGCGTTGTATGCGCATCCGTTCACGGCCAATGTCGCGGCTGCGCTGGAGGGATGAATGCTCTCAAGTATATCCTGGCCATGGCTTTGAATGGTCGTGCACTGATGATCACGAAAACGTCGTCGGCGGATGGACCTGGCCGCAGTTTGATGTGACCTTGGGCAAAGTCTGCGGTTGCCGCTGCCAGAAGTGTACGTTTGGGTGGCATCCCCTTCCTACATCTCCGCCATCGTGAACGCCACCTCGGCTCAAAGCATCTACTGCGACACCACGTTTCCATGAACGACTCTCCACGGGCTTTCTCGACGCGGTGTCGGAGTGTACCGTACCCGCGCTTGACGTGATACCAACGGCACGGGCCAACTGCCGTCCACGCTGGTCCCAATTTTAGGCGCCGCTTCAACTGGACGCCATGGGGGGAATGGATCATCGCGTTTGTGATGCTAGGTTTCGTCGCAGTGGCTGCCAGCATCGTCGACTTGCGCAAGCAGGCTATGCTTCCAACTCTCCCGAGTCTCACAATGGACATGCGAATCGTCGGGACGGCGACGTTCTCGAAGCACACGATGCACTCGTCTCGAATCCCACCAGACGTTTGACATAATGGAAATCGAACCATCGAAGCGAGGTGTCGCAGAGCCCTACGACTTCCATGAACGCCACGTGCAGAGCACCGCAGAAAGCCTTTTGCGCTGTTGTCAAGGCAAGTGCTCGCTCGATCATGGACACGTCTACCACTGTCCCTCCATTCAACTAGAGTCCAAAGTGTCCACGACTGTGATCGAATGGCTCCACCGACGCGAGACAAATCGCTTCGGCCAGGTCTTGCAGACAGAGTGCGAACTGCCATGACAAGTGCAAACTATGGCATTGGTGGACATCAGGACGTTATCAATAAGCTCGCTAGCTGGGTTTCGTCTACGAGATCGTCAAATTCGCAGTCGTCCCAGTCGTTTCCATCGTCGTCGTCGCGATAAGAAAAGCCAACGACGGTCGGCGGGTCGTGGCCTAATTCGTCTTGATTGCTACTGTGTTGCTGGCCATGGCTCGGCGTGGTTGAGTTGCTTGTTGGATTCGACGGCTTGGAGGCGTCGCGGGGCTTCTTTCGAGGTTTTAACTGCGACGAGGCCGGGACAACGACGACGTCGATCCGTTCATGCGGAGGCTTGGACGGGATGCCGTGCTTCTTGCGGTCGTATCGGTTGACCAAGGGCGGCGGCGCCTTGTCCAGTTTCTCTTGCTTGAGTTGCCGCTGCAATTTGGCCATCTCGAGACGAGCCAGGACCTTCCATGCGACGCGGCTTGCTCGTTCTTCTCGCTCCATCGTCGTCGTCTCGCGCGACTCCCTCTGGAGGAGATTCAATCGTCACGCCAGAACCACTAGGCAGAGGCTACGTACTTGCACAGCGTGCTTCCATTCCCGCTTGAAGAATTCTTTGTCGCGACGTCGACTGAGTTTGGCTGCGAGGCGCACTCGCTTCTCTTCTCGCTCCATATCGCGTCGCTCGGACGCTTCCCTCTGTCAAGCACAGCATCCAGCTGTCAGTCTTGACAGCAACATGGCACGACCAACCTCGAGCTCCGCCTCGAGCTGCTGCTTCACCAACTCTTTCCATCGATCGTGCTCCTTGCGCAGGAGCAGCTTTCGCCGCAGATCTGCGTGGTGCTGTTGCCGGGCGATCGATTCTTGGCTACCGTCGCCGTCATTTTGGTGCACCAACACCGTCTTGTACGGCATCGGGCTCAGCGTAACAGCAATTGTTCGTCGACGGTGCCTTGATGGCCTCGATGGCTGAACGAGTATGCTTTTGCCGACCTTCAATGGTCCCTCTGCGGGTTTTGGACATCCCTGGAGCTTTGGAAGCTGCAAGCTGCCGCGTCGCCATACTGGGGAAAGCGCATGCAACGGCGCAACGTCCACCATCGATGGAGCACATGACTGCTCCCACTCGGTGGCGTCGGTGACCAGGCCCTTTGTCGCATCCTCCAGGACGTAGCCGGAGCTGACGGCGTCCTCGATGTGTTCTGAGCTTTCTCTTGTAGCTGATGTTGCCAGTCGAGTCACATGCACAGCCGCGGGCGGTCGTTTTCTGCGATGCCGCTGGCGACAAAGATGCCCCCGAATCGCTGCCTGCACGTGCACGACGCTCTCTCGGATGTCTAGGAATGTCTCCCGGACGACATAGCGGCGAAATGTACTCTGAATTTTGACGGCACTCGCATTGCGAGCCATCGATCGCTGAGCAAATACTTGGCGCCATCGCTCGTCGACTGTCCGTCTGGCCAAGTACGACCGGGCTACACGTTGGACAGCAACTGCACCGCGCTTCCTGCGTTGTCGACGCACATGGAGCCGCAGGTTGCCTGCGATGCATTGAGCTGCTCGAGCACGGACGTGTCGCGCCTGCTCGGCTCGGACGCAATGTCGCTGCCATGCCAACGCGATCACAGCCACAGCTGAGTGCTCCTTTCGGCGTTGGAGGAAGGTTCGAGCCGCGTTTTGCATGACTTTGGCTGCCGCGTTGCACTCTGCAGCGACTCGTCGCGCCTCGCGCGCTTGCTTTCGCTGAATCATTCGCTTGGACGCTTCAACTTTCTCAAGCTAGACGTGCATACGGCGTCGTCATGCCTTGGATATCAAAGTGGCCAGCACCTCCAACGCAATCCTCTCGTGCTGTCGGAGCATGGCTTCTTCCTGCATCTTCAGCTTGCGCTCAGCACGAGCGGTCGCGGCCGTTGCTGCATCCAGGGATGTGTCGTGATATGGTGCTTTGTACTGGCTCGTGAACTTGGTTGAGATGCCTACGAACGCCAGAGTTAGCTCCGACCGGGATCCTCAATTAGGTGGTGCCGATCACATACCCGCTTGAAACATCGACTTGCGGCGCATGGCCCTAGGCGCGTGCAGAGCGTCGGCGCTGGAAGCGGCACGCCGTCGAGCTATTCTCGGTGGCCCACACTTCCTGTCGAGGTAAAAATAGTCGTGTTCTTGTAACAGCATCTCGGCGCTTTCTAGCACGACGGCCGCGCCACCCACCAGTCGGTGCGATGATGAAAATACAGCGAAATGACGTTGACGACTTGATGTTCAATGGGCTGGGCACACCCGAGCTGTGGCACAACTTGAGCGAGGAGCTACAAGGCGTCAAGGTCCTCGAGCATCCCCGCGTGCAGAAGAAGGTCTTGGTCAAGGCCATTCGGATGCAAACGATGGCGCTGCGGTGCATGGCCGGCGAATTCGACCAGCTTCGCGACCGACTCGAAGCCGTCGAAAAGGAAGCGATTCACGGCCAGAAACAGCTCGAGAAGGTCAACACCAAGGTGCTGGCGCTCGAGGCGGCGCTGGACGGAGCCAAGAAGCGCGTGGTTGAGTTGGAGGCTGACATTGCCAAGGAGGCAAAGCGCATCGATGCAGTCGAGCACGTCGACGGTCAGCTCAAGGCAAGTTACGCTGACAAACCACCCGTCCATGCATTACGAGCGTCATTGTGGCTGACCATGTAGAGCGTGCGGGAAGATCTGAAAGCCGTGGATCGCGCCGTCGAAGCCCACAAGACTGTGTTTGACTTGTTTGTTGCAAAAGTCGACCACGATATGGGCACAGTAAAGGCGGCAGTCGACGCCACCAACGCGAGCATCGTCGCGATCGAGACGAAACTCGAACAGGACGAACAGGTCCAGGTCCTCACGACCGACGACATTGTGCACGGAAACCTGCCGCTCTCGCGGTGGTTCGAACAGTACGCCGAAGACAACGACCGTCGCGAGGCAATTCTCAAAGACACGAGCGACAAATTTGCCAAGCAGAGCCGGGGCATCCATGACATGATGAATGACACGCGCAAGGCGCTGGACGACAACACGACCGCGGTCGAGGACGTGCAGCGCGCGCTCATTGACAAGGCGGACCGCGTCAAAGTCGACCTCATCATTGAGAGCAAGTACGAAGAAATCATCGAGCAGCTCCAAAAGGCCATGACTGCAATTAGCGACGACGAGGTGCACGTCCGATCGTTGCCAGCGATCTCACGGCGGGCGGTAGGACGAGTTTAAGCGCAACTGCCGCGACCTCCAAGATTTGGTGCAGAACTTGGCGGCAAGCAAGGCCGACAAAAAGTACCACGAGCGTCGACGGCTTGCCGTGGTCGTTGACGACAGTGGTGTGTGTGGTAGGGACCTCCTCGAAGTGAAGGAGCAAGTGCTGTACGATTCGCGCGTCCGGCAGCAGGTACGGGTTCATGCGCCGCGTCCATCGTCGATCCATCGTGCACGCAGGTTGAAAACCTCCGCGCTTTCATTGACCTCAAGATGAACCGAGAAGATGTTCTGTCCGCGCTCAAGAACAAAGCCGACAAAGACGAGATGCAGCTGCTGCTCAAGACGCTGTCCGACAGGTGGAGCCGTCCGCGCGTTGCCGTTGATTGACGCTGCTCGTTCCAGCATGTATGCGGCGGTGTCCAAGTCTGCTGCCCTCAGCCAAGAGCCCGATTCAGCGTTCCTGACCAAGAATTCCATGCACAAGCGGCCGGGATCCCTGCCAAGGTGGACGACGTCGTCGTGTGGCTTGTTCATCCACGTTGTATTGCGCCTGTAGCTTGGAGAAGGATCGATGTCTTGCATGCAATTCAGTTCTCGCACCCGGACACCCTAACAATAGCGGTCCCCCCATGGGGTCCACGTACGGCGGCGGCTTTCAAACGGCCGCGCCAGGCTATGAAAAGGGAAAAGGCACCATCGGCCCAAAACCCCAGCCCCTTCCCAGTCTCAACTTTGACTCCTACCTCCTCGGCATGGACGGCCATGTTTACCATGGCGACGCAGACAAGCCAGCCGTCGTCCACCACACATCTTCGTCCGATCTCCTGTGCTCCAAGATGCTCAAGGTCGTGTCATCGCCGAACCAAAACGACAGGTGCGTACGAGCCGTCCATCGACCGTGCAAAGAAACACTACCAATGGCTAGGAATGACCGGCCGCGGTCGAGTGGGGGTCGGCCATCGTAGAAGGACACGTATGCAACTCAAATGCAGGTCGACTTGTGGCATGAATTAAAGGACAACATGATGGCGGATGGCACTGCCGTCTTCAGAAGAACGAGTCATCGTCGAGCACGATGTCGTTGCCATCGTCCAACGACATGCCGGCCCCCATGTCATCGTTCCCGTCACCGCCTCCGCCGTCGTCGCTGTCCATGGTGACAGTGTCCGCGTGGTGTCGATGGGACGTAGCCGCCGCGGGCGCGGCCAGGGCATCGCGATGGCTCAGGAGGAAGGGTTGGCACACAAAGTATACGAGGAGAGGGAGCGAGTGGCACGCGAGGGCGAGCTGCTGGGTGTCGTCGGTGCTGGTCTCTTCCGTCGGCTCCGCAGCGCCTTTGGCCGTTGTGCGCACCGCCAAGTTCAACGTGCAGTTTTCGTACGTCGTCACTTCCACGAGTGCATCGCGCGGCATGGCATCGCTTGAGAGCTTGAGTGCGATCGACGTTGGCGCGGACACTTCGACTTGGACTTGCACTGGAGTGGATCGTGAGGACACCACCACGCGAAGCTCGACCCATACCGTGGGTTGGAATCGACGCCATGTTGTCGGTGGCCGGATCGCGCCGCCCAAACAAGTTTCTCGCCGGGCCGCCTGCAAAAAAGCTCGCCAGGACTGAATGGAAAAACAAGCTGTGGCCCACGACTGCCAAGACTTGCCCGAGCACGTCGCCCGTGCCTCGAAGCAACTAGACAACGGTAAAACTCGACCACGTTCGCCACCAGCACGTACTGGGATCGGAAACGCTGCGAATTGAATACCTCCCACGATTTCCTTGGTCACGAGCGACCCATCCAGGACGACAGGAAGCGCGCGGTGCAGGATGACGTTTGTGCTGGCATCCCGAACAAACCGGAGCTGGGGCTGGAATCGTACGACAGAATGCGTCGCTCCCGTGTTGTGCTGCCCCACGATGTCTTGAACGAGCTCGTTGAACGCCATCTCCTGGTCGTCAATGCCAAAGATTGTGCTCGCCAGGCGCCGCGACTGAATGCCAGACATGACGAGCGGTGTGTCGCACACAAAATGCAGCGCGACCGCGCCTTTCCACTCGGCAAACGTGAGGCACCCTTGCCATTCCGTCCACGGCGCCGACGTCACCGTGGGCGCGGCAGCGTCGTCGCCGGTGCCGTCGGCTTCGTCGACGTGTTTGGCCTTTTTCCGCGGCGGCGACAATGCGCCGTCTCCATCGAGCAGTGGAAAGCACTGGAGACCGTCGCGGAACGTCAGAAGCAGGCCGTCAACGCCACGGCGCACGGTCCACAGGTTCTATTCACCCCCGCATCACAGTCCAAGATCCGCGATCGCAAAGGCACGTACTTGCTTTGCACACACGAGCTGGAGCTTCTCCTGCAAGTCGTCTTCGAGGTCGTCAAAGTTGGCTACGAACGGCGTCAGCCCTGTCGACCGGCGCTCGGACGTACTGGACGGAAACTTGGCCGCGAGTTCGGCTCGATTCACCAGGCGGCGCAACTTTTCCTGGCCATCGCGACGCGTTGAACAATGTGGACGAACTCGCGGCATATACCGTGAAGCGCTCGCTGCGGCCAGAAATGAGCTCCAGCAGGCAGCTCAACAGATCCGCGTCGCGCTCGGGATACTGCTTGGTCACTTCTGCACGACCCATCACGTTTTATCGTCCCACCGCGCCAACATACCGTTGACGACCGTCGTCAGCGACGCAGAGTGCACATCCCCCTACAGCCGCAGTCAAACATTCGACGTGAACGAACGAAACGCCGCACGTTGCCGCCCGTTAAATGGATGTCCAAAACAAAGGTGTCGCAAAAGACCGAGATCGACGAGTCGTCGGGCTTGTGTACCTACGAACCGATCGACTTCCAGCGCACGGACCGATCGAGCGTACGTGGAGTTTGACCGTTGGGCGGCTCAATGCAGACGCGACCCGCGACACTTCAAACATGACTTTGTACGCACCGACGCGGCCCTTAAGCTCGGCTTCGCGCAGCCCGACTTCCAACTCGAGCGTGCTGAGCGACGACGAGATGCTGGTCCATGTGAGGTCGCGACGGGCGAGGGTCGACGTACATGCTGCGCAGAGTCACGACGTGGGCTTCGAGTCGTTTTTCCTCTTTCTTGAGCTGCACATACTGTTGGTTCCGTCCGTACCACTCGCGGTGCTACGACAACGACGACAACGTCAGGACGATCGCGTGGCACGCACGGTGGTACCATTTTCAACGATTCAAACAGGTAGTTGAGTCCGCCCTTCCATGTGGCCTTTTGTGCAGGCACCTTTTCCTTTTGCGCCACCACTACAACGCCGCAGACGACGTCGGAGAGTTAGCAGCCACGACGACGTGTGCAATTCCTCCACACGAAACGCGAAGACAAGTTGCGGACGTACAATGCTGTTGAAAGCTTCCACTCGCCGCATTGCGGAAGTGATCGGGCAGCATCTCATCCAGGCACGCCTGGACATTCGATGCCATCGTCCGCAGCGACGGCTTGGTCTCCATGATGGTTTGGTGGAATCGAGCGAAATGGAATCCGGATAGCGCGGGACATTTATCCGGATTCTCGGCGCCGCCAAAGGTCACGTACACCAATACTGCCAAATGCGCTTCCAGGACTGCCACGGCGGCAGCTGCACGTTCCGCAGCAAAGCGAGCGCGAAGAAGGAAGCAAAAGACGCCAGCACGGATGCCGTGCAGGTCGATTTCGAGGCGGCGACGACCCAGACGTCCGTCGCGGTCGACAATGGCTCCCAGACAGAGTACATCTCGAGGGAGACAACGAACCAGTCCGACAACGTGTCGGCCGCCGTTCACGCATTCCTACAGTCAACTGGACCGATCATGCTGCGCGAAATGAAGCAGGGAAACCAGTCGGCCGCGTTTCATGGTGAGAAGCGAGGATGCACGACATGGTACGCTTCACGCGACGTTGTAGACTTCTGGCAAGAACAAGATGCAGACGACAAGCACGTGAGCAAAGCGTTCACGCTCGCGTTCGACTTTTTCACCCACTTCAAGCAGCCCATCGATGGTACCGTTGTTCTGCCACGACAATCGTGACACACAGTCGACCTGCCTGCGCAGCCAAGAAGCCGACGCAGTCCGGGCTCAAGCTCGAATGCACCGGCGTGTCATGGAACGCCACGGGGTCGGTGCTGGCCGTGTCGTACGGGCGCTTTGACCACAGCGGATGGTGCAACTATCGATCGGCGCTGTGCCTATGGAACATCTTCAGCGCCGACTTCAATCCAAGCAAGCCGAACGTCGTGCTCGAGACATCGGTGCGGCCGTGCGCACTGACGGCGCTTAACTCGTGTCCCAACTAGAGCGGTCTCATGTGTGTGGCGCACCACCCAACGAACCCTGCCGTCGTTGCGGCCGGCTCGTTCAACGGCGAGCTCATGGTGTGGAATACGTCGCTGGAAGAGCCGCTCGTGGCGACGTCCGGGATCGGGGACTACTTTCACCGAGAGCCCATCTCCAAGGCATGTGCGCGCGCTATCTGTTGCGATGGCGTGCGCCAGCTCATGCACGTTTTCATCTAGCTGGCCTGGGTGTTCGACACACCCTCGCGCGAGTACCACGTACGCCGCGGAACGATCCGATCCACGCTAAGTGGCCGATAGATTGCAAGTGTCAGCGGCGATGGCAAGGTGCTGCTGTGGCAAGTCAAGGACAAGCTGTCGTATCCGGTCGAGGGCTTCTTGCTCAGTGCGAAATGGACAAAGGCAAAGGCTAAACCGTCCGTCGTGATGGGAGGTAAGCACGTCGGTCGACATGGCGCTGACAAGGGGCAAAGGGGTCGCACTTGCCTTTCGTCCCAACGACCGCACGAACCGCAGCTTCATTGCAGGATCGGAAGGCGGCGCCGTGACGCGATGCTTCTCAACCCAAGTGCCCAAGGGTCTGTTCAAAGGCGGTAAGGTCCTGGGCTCTTCAAGACAACTGCATCGTGGCACACGCTCTACCTCGGTAGAGCTTAAGTGGTCCACAAACGCCCAGCGCCTCGTGGGGGCGGCGCCACAGCCCGCCGACGTCCGCCGGCACGTGGAAGCGTTCGCCAAAGACAGGAAACTCCGCGACATCCGCGTGAGCACGGTCTTCGAGGCCAAGCCGGACGTGGTGTCGCTGTACAGCTCCGCGCTGGACTTCACCTTTGAGCCTCACGGAGGACCCGTGTACGACATACAATACTCGCCGTTCCACCCGAGTCTTTTCCTGACGGCATCGTCCGATGGCACGGTCCGCCTCTACAATTACCTCCAAGTACGCAGGACCAAGGCGTCGGCAATCGCAACGACTCGTTCCTTTTCTTGTAGAAATCCCCCGTGCTGGCCTTTGAAGTAGGCACGCACTACTTGTACAGCATCGCATGGTCCAAGACACGTCCGCTGGTCTTTGCCGTGGCGTCGGAGGACGGCAACATTTACGTGTTTGATCTCAAGGTCGAGTGGTGTGTGCGTGTGCGGTGCTGGGGAGTGACTATCTATTCTGTTTCAACAGGAGAACGAGCTTCACCCGGTTGCGACGCTCGCTGTCGAGTCCAAGCAGCATCGCGCGGCCGTGTACACCTTGGACTTCAACCCGCGGCAGCGCAACTTTGTCGCGTGCGGCGATAGCCACGGCCTCGCCCATGTGTGGAAACTCAACTGGCAGCTGTCCAACCTCCATCCCACAGAGCTGGGGCTCCTCAACGACCTGGCCGATTTGCGTGCTTCGTAACGTAGTGCAGGCCATGCGTCGAATAAACTCGTCGTTGTGTGAAGTCTGTGGATTCCATGCATGCAGTCGCGTCCCAGATACAGGGATAGCTCTCAAAGCACACGCACCAGCGACGGAGGCTGCCCCTGGCGCTGCTTTCGCGTTGTGTGCCCATCGGTTACACGTCGATGCCAGTTACATTTGCCGCGATGCGGTGGACGGCCGCATGAAGACCAAGGCAAAGAACAAGTACAAAGTGCAGCATGCCAGCACGCGGCAGCTGAAGCGGTTGGCACCTCCCCAGTCGCGTCTTGAAGCCGCGCCGATAAGCCAGTTCGAAGACGCTGTACGACGACGGGACCTCCAGTCGCTCGTGTGGATGATTGACAGTGGCACGATCCATGTGGACCAAGAGACCGTCGCCGGTGAGACTTCATTGCTGGCTGCCGTCGCTGCAAACAACGTGCTTGCCATGGAGCTGCTCTTTAGCCGGTATACGGTCGCTCCATTCGTGTTGGCCGTACTCGTCCAATGTCTTCGTGACTGTAGCGGTGCCAACCCCAACGCAGTCAACCGCCACGGCTACACGCCTCTGATGAAGGCGGCCACGATCGTGGGTGCCGTCGATTGCTCGGAAGCAGTCTTGGCACTGCTTCGCCATCGCGCCGATGTGTTTGCGCGCGACAGGACCGGCAAGACCGCGCTGGAATGGGCACGCCTCACGAACAACATAACCGTGTGCCGGCACCTCGAGCTCGCCATCCAAACACACATCTACGCCCGACGATGTGCCGAGGCAGATGAAACCAGAGCTCATACATTCGCAGACGTCCTCGAGCGGCACACAAAGTTGTGCGTGGCCATGCAAGCGGCGGTGGCCGCCAGCGACTTTGCGCAAGTACGAGACATTCTGTTTGCTTGGGATTACTTCCACGCACTTGGTCCAGGTCCGGAACCTTGTCAGCACGAACGACGTCAACGTGGAAGTATTCCGCGAGGCGGCCGCCCCCGGCGTGCGCTACTTCGTAGACATCGAAACGACCGCGGGATGGTCGGCGCTTACAAAAGCAGCGTCGATGGGAGACTTGACGACTGTCGAGCTGCTGGTGGATAAGGGGGCAAGTGTTAACATGGAAACGAAGCTGCGGCACACAGCCCTGACGTGGGCCGCGTACTGTGGCCACAAGGAAGTTGTCCAGTACTTGCTTCAGAATTGCCGAGCCGACTGGCGTCAAACGACGCGCGAAGGGATGACGGCGCTCATGCACGCAAGTCGAAATGGCCAGGACATCGTGGTGGGCATCCTTTTGTCCGTCATGCACGAATCCAGCGTAGGGAGCCAGGCGCGGAAGGATTACAACGGGGACGGAGCTAAGACGACCCCGGAGTGGCACAGCACGTTCCTCGATGCGCTGCATGCCATGTAAGTCTCCGCCACGTGGAAGCGCGAATGGTTTACTATGTGGCCATGCGCAGTGACCAAGGAGGTATGGACGCCATCGCGTACGCCGCGCGAGAAGGTCACAACAGCACGGTGGCCATCCTGGAGCGGGCAAAGGCTGGCGCGATGGATCACCTCGACCACACTGAGCGGCTCAAGGCCAAGACGTCGGACGTTCCGTGCAAACTCAATTGCGGATTCTGCCATGCGAAGGACTTGATCCGATACCATGAAGAGAACAAATGTCCTCGCCGTATCGTCGAGTGCGACGGGTGTAAAGCGGCGGTGGTGAGCAAGGATTTGGACGAGCACAAGGTACGGCGCACACGTCCGCCACCACGCGCCATCGTCTCTAAGTGGTCGCTTGGCTACAGCGACGGACTTGCGAGGCGCGGCTCGTTTCGTGCTTGCACATGCAATACGGGTGCGTTGTCAAAGCGATCGCTGCGCTTATTTGTCTCATCATCTCGTTGCTGATGCTGGTGGAAGGTGCACCGTGCAATTGCCGCAGCGAGACATGCAGCTCCATGAAATGGAGCACTGTCCGTACCGCCAAGTGGCCTGTCGGTTAGAGTGCGGCCACGACAAGCTGCGCTGGAACACGCGGGATGCCCATGAGGTACCAAGTCGAGGTCGTGTTTCGCCATGCCTCACCGAAAACTAGGCCAACGACTGTCCCCGTCGCAGCGTCCGATGCAGTGCGTGCCACGCAGACATGGTCGGGCGCGACCTTCGCGGCCACATGCGTAGCCATTGCCCCAAGCGGGCAGTCCTGTGCTCTTTGTACGGAGGCTGTGGCGAGAGCCATCCTTTTGACGAGACGGCCTTCCATGTTGAACACCTGTGCCGGCTGCGCCCACGGCCCTGTCGGTGGGCTGACCACGGCTGCGACGCGGTGCTCGGGCCACCCGAAATGCGACTCGCGCACGAAACCACCACGTGCGACGTCCGCGTCGTTCGGTGCAAGAATCGGTGTGCGGTCGGATCGTTTGTACGTGCGATCTTTCTCACGCCTGGGTGTGCGCTGACGTGGTGGAATGCGTAGCTTTCGTGCTTTGCATCACAGCACTACCTCTGGGACTGCCCAAAGGAAAGGAAACCATGTCCATTGGGATGTCCAGCGACGATGGAGAGCCAGTACATTCATGGCCACCACGAACCCAACTGCGGGTTTTGTCCGTTGCGCCAAGCCCGGTGCAACATGGGTGCGTGGGGACGCGTCCGCCGTCCATTCCGTGCTCACTGGAACATCTCGAGAGTAGACTTATGCGGGAAAAAGATCCGTCTGTTCGGCCAAAGCGATGCTACAGTCACAGCAAGGTCGGATGAGGTGGCAGCGGTCTCCACCAGCGCCGCGCTGACGCTGAACGGAGTCCAGTTGCGCATTCGAAGGCTCGAACGATTCCTCGCCACCGAACTTGACGCGACAGTGCCGGCGCTGGCCGCCCCTTTCCTAAGGCAATGGATCACCGGTCGCGTGCATGCGATGGCAGAAGCCCTGGCAACACTGCACATGGACTCAACCCAGCTCGGGTTGGTGATGCGATACGACCCCACGACGCAGTGCCATTCAGTCAGCATCGACGGAGTTGGCGCATGGATCCATCTGAGCCACACCTACTTTGCCGAAGACCCCAGCGAACACGACTGGAAGTGTGGGTGGCTCGCGGCGCACCAGCGGCAAGAACACCAAGAGTCGTCATGTCCGCACAAGATAGTGCCATGTCCACTTGGCTGCGGCCAGCAATGCCAGCAGTTCCAGCTCATGAGCCACACCAAGGACCGATGCATCAAGCGAACACTGGCGTGCCGACTCGGATGTGGGCGCTCCATGAGCGTCGAGGGGCTCCTCGCTCACGAAGAGTCCGAGTGTCCGTTGAGGTATGTGCTTCTTCCACATCCAACGTTGGCAGTTCGTAGCCATTCGTACGAATTTGCTGCCGTAGTCACCAATTCTGTCCGCACTGCAGTCAAGGTTTGTTAAAGAAGGACGTGGACAACCACATTGCCGCCATGTGCACCAAATTCCCGCGGCCCTGCCGCTTGACGTGTGGCGCTTCGATGCCATCGACCGACTTTGGGGAGCACGAGGTAGGGCAAGTCCATTCGCTCCCCAGCATCACTCGGATGGGATTTATCAGAGAACAACATGCCCGAAGCGACTGGTCCACTGCCACGAATGCGACAAGGTCGTGTTCTTTTACGAACTGGCCAGCCATGTAGCCGAAGAGTGCCCGTGGCGGTCGAGTGGCCTCTGCGCCCTCGGCTGCGGTGAAGTGCTTCGCGTGAATCAAGTCCAGGTCCATGCTACAACTGTGTGCCCTCAAGTAAACTCTTCACTCGCATCATGATCGCTCCAATGGCTATGGTGTGTCGTAGAGACTGGTTCTGTGCCCTCAATGCAGCTCGCCTTCTGTCCGAGTCGCTGACTTTGACACCCATGTCAAATTCATGTGTCCGGAGCGGCAGCTCTACTGCCAAAAAGGTTGCGGCGCCACTCTACGCGAGTCGGAGCTGGACGCTCATGAAGCATTCGACTGCCTCCATCGATCTGTGCTTTGTCCGCTCCGCTGTAACTTCAACCTGGCAGCGTCAACGCTGGCGAAGCACATGCAAACCGAGTGCCCCCGCCGACTCGTCCCATGCCCGAATCGGTGTCCCATGCAAGTCCCGGCCATTGAGCTCACCCTTCATCTCCGCAACTGCGACCATCGCATGGTGTGCTGCGGCGCGGGGAGCGCGCAATGCGCCCGCCCGTTGAAAGCGTGGATCAAGCACGCGGTGCTCGACCGGTGCTTTGCCCACCTGGAACATGGGTTCATGTGGGCCGTCAAGACTGCTGACATGGACACGATCTCGACTTTTCTTCGCTATATCCATCCATCGGCTCTCGATGAAGAATTTCACACGGGCTTCACGCCGCTCGCGCTGGCGTGTTCCAAAGGCGATGTACCCGTCGTTCGCATCTTGCTGCTACATGGCGCCGACGTCAACCTCGAGACATCTCGCGGTCGGACGCCACTGAGCGAAGCTTGCCTCGGCCAGCACATCGAGGTCGTCGAGATGCTGCTCCAGCATCGCGCAGTGGTCACGCACACGAATCGGCATGGACTGTCCACGATGAGCATTGCGCGCCAACTGCGCCACGACGGCATCCTAACCTTGTTAGAGAAGCGCCACCACCTCGAAGAGGTACTGCCGTTCTCCGTCCTCAACTGCATCAGCGACTGTCCCCTACTCGGTAGACCCAACGGCGGCTCTTCCTAGCGATATCCACATCCAACTACACGGCAATCGAAGAGCTCGTCGCCGGAGGAGAGATGGCTTACCGCGAAAACCACGCATGGCACCTTAGTCGGGAGCTGGCGGCGAGTGCGACAGCGCTGGAGGAAATCCGAGCCACCCTCGCCGACCACATGAACGAGATGAACGTGTCGATTGCCGACTCGGAGGCGAAGAAGATGAAGGTGGTCAAAATCCTCGACTCGGTCGAGTACAACAAGGCGCAGCTCGAGCATGTCGAGAAGAAGGAGGCCAAGGTCGAGGCGCTGCGCCAAGCGACCGAACTCACAGTCAAGCACGCGATTCAAGCCATTACTGCGCAGGATATCGTGGGCCTCATCGGCCAGACGGATCCGCCGCCCGGACTTCTCGTCGTCCTCAAAGCGATGGCACTTTTCAATGGCGTGATCCCCCGCGTGAAGAGAGGGACAGACGTGAATGGGTTCTCGGAAAAGGAGTGGTGGGAAACGTGCCAGGCCATGCTGATGGATCGCCATTTTCTTCGAAAGCTCGTCAACTTTCGGGAGCTCGACGTGCCCCCCGACGTGCTGTTCAAGGTTCGCCGGGAGTGCCTCAAGCACGACGACTTCCCTGTCGTTGCCGACTTCGCTCCGTCAGTCGTACCTCCGTCCGTGGACGGTGCCTCGAACACCCCGCTGCAAGCCAAGACATTGCCCACTCGTCGGAAAATGGCCATGACACCGTTCATGGCCCTCAGCACATGGGTCAAAGGCGTCGAAGTGAACCAAAAGTCCAAAGCAGAAGCCAAGCTTCTCAGCGAGACGAAGGCTGCAGTACAAAGCGACTTGGCCATGCTCGAAGCCGAGCTCAAGAACGCTACGTTCGACATGAAGACGGCGCATCGGTCGCTGCCCTCCCGTCAGGAAGAACTCGATCGAATTGTAGCTCTCGAGGCCAAGGCCGCCGCGGACTGGAAACTCAAGCAAAAACGCGTCAACGTGTGTGCATTGCTCGCATTTACAAGTCTCAACGGGCACACGCCGCTCACGTTTGCAGCGTCGATCGGAAACGAGCGCGCTGTGCGGCTCTTACTCAACCGAGGGGCCAACGGTAGCTATTCGGTAAGCTGGTCTAGCGTGAGCGGAGAGCTGAGATCAGTGGCCAGGACGAAGAGCAGCGGTTGTGTGCAAAGATCCTCCAGACCGCGCTGCGCCACCACGTTCGCCACCTCACGTTGTCGGGAGATCTCGCGACGATGTCGTCGATCACGGGGTTTCTGTCATTGAAACCACTGACGAAGCAGTTGCGGCGATACCGGCAATGCACCCGCGTGGCGCTGCACGAGGCTGTGTACAACGGCCACCACGAAGTGCTGGGGCTCTTGGTCGATACAGGACATGCCAGGGTGTGGCAATCGTCTTTCGTCGAGCCGATGGCGGCGTGTCCGGGCCAAGTCGAATGGCACCAACCACGCAATCTTGAATTTGGCATGGGGGTGTGGAAGCTGCACTGTCGAGCAACGCCGCTGGGGTTGTCCGAGTCGCTGGCTCTGGGCGAAGCAAGGATGCGCCGCGTCGCGTTTCGGGAGAAAATCGGATGGGATGTGAATCCGTCCACCGGTCGAACCATCCACGACGACACTCGCCAAGAGCTCGACGCGATTCTCGCCGCGACCACCAAACTCCAAGAGACCAAGCGCCAGGAACAAGTAACGCGGAAGACCATTTTGCGCCGCGCGAGCAACCAGCGCCTGTTGCATGACAAACTCGACCTTGCGATTCAAAACAAGGCGTATGGAGAAGCGTACGCTTTGCTGGATGCGGGGGCGTTTGCCGAACACGCCACCCGCGGCGGCCTCACCGTGCTGTGCCAGGTACAGTTGGCTGCTGTGATGTCGACGCGATTGACGAGTCGGTCGGGTTGAAAGGCATGCACGGAAGAAGTGTACACGACAAATGCCGACGGCGACACTGTTTTGGTGGTCGAGTACTTTTTGGATCGCGCTGTCAACCGTCCGTCGCCCAACCACGAAAGCCAAAGCGCGGATGGCCACTCGTTCTTGCCGCTCTTGGTCGCTGCGCACTACGGCACCGTGCGCTGCGGCCGCAGTCTGGTACGTCTGACGCGCGAGCTGTCCGTTGTCTGTCCTGCATGCATGGCATCGGGCGGTACTGTTCTCGTGCGTTGGATCGCTTGCGTCAAGAGTTGAATGCGCTGGCGAGGAGTTTCAACGTTTTTTCCTGGAATAGCTCAGTCGAGGCGGCGACGTCAATGTGCGGACGACAGCGACCGGCACGTCCGCGCTGATCACCGCCGTTCAAAACAACCAAGACGACTTTGTCGCGTTCTTGCTGGCCCATGGCGCGAACGTCCACATCAAGGTACATCCAACTTGAGCGATGCGTTCATATGTCGACTGTACATGACCAGGACGTTCATGGTAAAACTGCGTGGACGTATGCCGCCGCCGTGCACAACGAATCCGTGCGCGCGCTGCTGGCGCAAGCTGCCGCCGACATCCGCCACACCTTGCACGTCGATGGCATGTCGGACGAGTTTGGGCTTTGTCGATGGGGCTGTGGGTATGTCGGTCGGTTTGAGGACCCGATTGTCGAGGCCGGCCACATTGTGCGGCTGCAGCATCCTCTCGACGACCACGAGCGAATGCTGTGCCCAAAACGAGTCGTCCAGTGCCCTCACGACTGCGGCATTGTGAGTTTGTGGAGCGAAGACGTGCGCCACCACGTCGACGTCGAATGTCCCCAGCGCCAGGTGCCATGCGCCAATCCAAAGTGCACCGACCTCGTTTCGTTTGACTGCTTGCACCGCCACCAGACGAGCGAGTGCCCTCACCGAACTGTGGTTTGCGACCTGTGTGGGGAATCGTGTATAGCCCACAAACTGCCAAAGCACGACGCCGCGCAGTGCCGCCTTCGTGCCGTCGCTTGTCCCGCCTGCAATGCCTCGTTGCCTTTCATGGACCTGTCGAGGCATACGAAGTTTGAATGCCCGCATCGAAAGGTGCGCTGCCGCCTCGGCTGCGGCTTCGTTGAGAGCTGTGTGCGCACGCACCACGAGCTCACCGAGTGCGTGAAGCGGCCGATTCCATGTGTGTTTGGGTGCGATGTTGGGACGACCCCCGAGGACCAGGCAGCCCATGAACTGGCCTGCGACTTCCGCTCCGTGCCGTGCCCAAATCGATGTCATGCACCCCTTCTTCGTGCGTGCGACGTGAGTGCACATCTCATGGAATGCCCCCACCGCTTCGTACCGTGTGAGTTGGGGTGCACCAAGAAGATTCGAGTCATCGACATGGCCGACCACGTCACGGCCGCCTGCGGACGCCGCGTCGTTCAGTGCAGCAAATGCCACATCGACATGACCGCCGACGATCTCGACCACGGCCATCCCGACTGCACCGCACGAATTCTCCCGTGCGGGGCGTGCGGTGTCGGCGGCATCGTTGCCGACAACATGGCGCGCCATAAAGCCGACGAGTGCAAGATGCGCCTGGTCTCATGCAAGCATGCTCGCGACGGATGCATGAAGCAGCCACTGTTTGCGCATGAGAAGACTTTTCATGAAACGATGGAGTGCCGATACCGCGTCATCTGGTGTCCGCTCGGGTGCGGCCTCCACTTGGTCGCCAAGGCGCTCCAATCCCACGAAGCCGAGTGCCCCATGCGATTTTCGACTTGTTCGCTCGGCTGCGGCCTCGACATGCGCGAGAAGGACCGCCTCGACCACGAACAGTTTGATTGTCGGTACCAGAAAAGGTAGCAACACGGCTTGGTAAATTGCGTCAGGAGTGTGTCGGGGGTATAGCGACTGCAAACTCCACCGCCGCAGACGGCGGCGCGCTTCAGGCGCGGTTCGTACCTGTAGACGCGGCAGAGCTACGAGTACCAAAGGTGGAGTGTGGCTCGACGTCATGCCCTTGGCACAAGGAGGGAGGCAAGCGCACGTGGAGGAGCAATGCCGATCGCTTTGTTTCGCACCGCGACAGGTTCGGTGACTACCGAGGGTCCAGACGGTGCCATGGCATCACGTACTCGACGACGGACGGATTTTTCCATGACATTAAACGCTGTTACACGAAGAAGCAGAATGTGATCGCTTGGACACGTCACAACGACTCGATACTCATGCTCCGAAGCCGTCAGTTTGCCTCATCATCCGCTGGCGAGTTCTCGGAGCCTCCGGCCGCTACCGGAAGCTCGTCTTCTGCATGGTCGTTGTCTGACCCAGTCGCTGCAGCCGGAAGCTCGACTTCGGCGTGAGCATCGTCGGATTCACTTGCACGCGCAGGGGGTTCGACTTCGGCATGCGAATTGTCCTTGTCGGCGGCGGCCGGTAGCTCCACTTCTTCGTGGGCGTTGTCCGCGTCACTCTTGGCAGCAGGCGGCTCACCGTCCGCATGGGCGTTCTCCGAGCCGGCCGCTTCAGCGTGGGGCTCCACTTCCGCGTCGGAGTCTTCTGAAACAACAGAAGCGGCCGGAGGGGAGTCTCCGTGAGAGGGGGCGTTGTTCGACGCCTCGACCGCAGGAGAGGGCCCCGCCTGATCTTTGATGGATTCGTCGCCTTGAATGATGTCGAAATGGGCGGGACCGTCTGGCTCGCCTCGCAAGTTTCGACCGCCACGCACCAAGCCTTGGTCGTTGCTGTGGGCGTCGGTGCCAGCGACGAGCAGTGCGCAGAGGGCGGCGAGAAGGATCGAGGTTTTCATGTGTGCCAGGGAATTGGAAAGTGGTGCATGTCGTCGCCGTCTGCCAGAGGGGTTGCAAAACGCCCCGTGCCTGAGGTCGACGCACACAGTGTATTTTGGTTCCCGTGGCCAAAATTAGGCGGCGATGCTTGCCACGTGGCAAGTTGACAACTCGGAAGGATCTGCAGCCGAGTCGAGTACGAAGTCCGAGTTCATTCGTCGAGCTTGGAACGATTCCATCACGTTCTTGGGCAAGAGCTCCAAGGGCTGCTCGCATCCGCCTCGGTATTCCAGCCACACTCGTTGTCAGTGCAGTGTCCACGCGTGTAAATCCTCATAGCTCTAGAAATCGCTTCAACTCGGCTGCAGATCCTTCCGAGTTGTCAACTTGCCACGTGGCAAGCATCGCCGCCTAATTTTGGCCACGGGAACCAAAATACACTGTGTGCGTCGACCTCAGGCACGGGGCGTTTTGCAACCCCTCTGGCAGACGGCGACGACATGCACCACTTTCCAATTCCCTGGCACACATGAAAACCTCGATCCTTCTCGCCGCCCTCTGCGCACTGCTCGTCGCTGGCACCGACGCCCACAGCAACGACCAAGGCTTGGTGCGTGGCGGTCGAAACTTGCGAGGCGAGCCAGACGGTCCCGCCCATTTCGACATCATTCAAGGCGACGAATCCATCAAAGATCAGGCGGGGCCCTCTCCTGCGGTCGAGGCGTCGAACAACGCCCCCTCTCACGGAGACTCCCCTCCGGCCGCTTCTGTTGTTTCAGAAGACTCCGACGCGGAAGTGGAGCCCCACGCTGAAGCGGCCGGCTCGGAGAACGCCCATGCGGACGGTGAGCCGCCTGCTGCCAAGAGTGACGCGGACAACGCCCACGAAGAAGTGGAGCTACCGGCCGCCGCCGACAAGGACAATTCGCATGCCGAAGTCGAACCCCCTGCGCGTGCAAGTGAATCCGACGATGCTCACGCCGAAGTCGAGCTTCCGGCTGCAGCGACTGGGTCAGACAACGACCATGCAGAAGACGAGCTTCCGGCAGCGGCCGGAGGCTCCGAGAACTCGCCAGCGGATGTCGAGGCATCCAGTGGCGACGATGGCACGTCGAATTAAGATGGCTGCTGCCCGCAGTGCTCGCGGGTGTCCCCACGCTGTTTTGCGCACCTGCTTCGTGTAAGACTGTGATGTTGTAAAAGTAATATCGATCCATCTGTGATATTCTCCAAATTTACTTGTCGTCAGCTCACTGGAAGCGCATCCATTGTCCAGGACACTCATCAAGACGTTCGACTGTTCAAATCTATCATGGCGGCCATGTGACGCTTATTTTGTGCTATGTGGCTGACGGTCATTGCTCCAGTGGGTTCCGCGAGCCTCTACCATCACTTGTTGAATCCTCGAGAGTCGAAGTAGACCAAGCGGGGCGGACCATGGGGGTTGCGATGCATTGTTCTGTTCTTTGGCGCCGTCGTCGCCGAAAATGCAATTCGGATGGACCTCCGCGACCTTCCGAGTCCAAACTAGTGCTAGTGAGTCGAATGAAGGTACCATTCCGCAATGGGCTTGAGCAAAGGCCCTCTGTCGCTTCCGCGCATCGCACGACAACGCGTTAGATTGTTCTAGATGGATCGGGTTATGTCTGCCGTGCTCCACCTAGCAGATCGGAAGGAGCCAGTCGTTTGGGCTGCTCCTTGTCGTCGCCATGGCCCCAAGCGCTGTGGTATGCCGTGGCAGCAAGCACAAATGGGCTACAAAGCAGGGCTGTCTTGCGGAGCTCGGCCAAGTTGGAGCTAGCGCTGATTTGGCGGCAGCTCCACACTTTCAACGTGTCCAAGCGCCCCATCGACCGAGCGATGGCGCTGACTGCGACGTTCGTGATGCGAGGGCACTGCGACAAATCCAAAGTCTTCAAATTCGCCAACTTGGAGCAGAGGGCGGCGACCCCAGCGTCCGACAGCTTGCAGCAGTACCGCATGTTCAAGTGTTCCAAGGCAGGGGCGTTGGCGGCGATGCTGCGGGCCACCCTACCATCGATGCCATGCTAAGTTCCCTTGACATTCATGCGAGGCTTACGTGTCGTCGGCGCTGTGGCAATACTGCAAGTTGAGACTTCGCAGCGTCGTGCAGCTCTTGAGCATCGTGTCCAGTTCGAAAACGTTGATGCGGTGGCAACCTTCGAGGCTCATCACTTCCACTTGAGTGGAGCGCAGCGCGCGGAACCCCGTCCCATCCAGGAGGTGACAGCCAGACAAGTCGACCTCTCGCAGCGTCGCCCTGTTGGACGCCAACAGCGCCGCCAGCCCCGCGTCGTCCAGGCGCATGTTCATGATGTGGGCTTTGCGCAGGTGCGAGCAGGTTTCTACGATGGCTTGCAAGGCGCGGGCATCCAAGCCTGTACACATGTCGATGCGTAAAACGCGCAGGTTCTTGAGCATGCGTTGGCTTGGTGCGGATTCAAACATGGAGGGAGCGAGGTCGGCACAACCCACAAGGTGCAGCTCTGTCAGAGCATGACCGAACCGGTTCAACATCGCCGTCCACGTCGGCACGGTCCACGTCCGCTGTGGTGCATCGTTGCAGAGAAAGCGAACATTCGAGTGGCAGCAGGCGCACTCGCCGCAATACGTTTTCAGGTTGGTGGACAAACCCGCTTCTGCGAGCAGCTTGGATGTGGATGCGAACTGGACGCGATCGGGCAGGGCAAGGAACGCGAGCACCGAGTGCATGGTGTCGACGTCGAGATCGGTGATGGCGGCGGCGGCGTTGGCCGGCCATGGCGCTTTCGAGTCGACATGGCGTGGGTTCGCGTCGACTGGCTTCGGGGCAGAGCCGGGGTGACGGATGGGAATACTTTGGCACATGGCTACCGCGTGTGACTGAAGACTGGTTTCGTTTCGCTGGTGCGGGCAAAGATCCACTGATGCTGCGGGCACGCGTTCAGCATTCAAGCACTCGAGACAAGCGAGTGTGGTCGAGAAAGGAGCGACAGTGGTCAAGACACCACTCGAGTCACGATCGCGCCGGGGGAACGCGACTTGCAAAGTGAAATCCCCGGGCTGCTGGCGAATTCGTCGAGTCGTTGGTACTTGGCACCGAGTATCTATCGGTTGGAAAACGGGGGGTCAGCGCGAATCGGGGGGTACGTGGCAGGCTCGTGGGAGTTGTGTCGCACAAACTGGGACAAGACAATGGGGGATGTCGCAGGGGTTCCGGTCGGGACGTCCGAAGGAGCGACGTCGAGAGGCCGAGTCGCGCCACCGGCTTCAAGCTACGGTCGCACCACCGTCACCAACAGGGAAAGGCCGCCCCGTGGCGGCAACGAACGGCGGGGGGTTGTCGCGGGGGTGCGGGGAATACAAATCAGAACGGTCGTGTTCGGGCACACGGCAGCTACTTTGGGGGATCGGGCAAAGCGATCAGTTGTAGAGCATTCGTCTTCGTTTCAAAACGCCGCCACGGACGCCGGCGCGAATCTGTGTCGAATGCTCTGCCGAGATGTTTGGGGACCTCCGCTCGCGAGAAGGGGCATGTATAGGGTTATTGCGCGAGCTGGGACTCTCGACAAGATGGCGACTACCCCTTCTCGACACAAATCCCGCATGTGGCCACCTAAACGGGTGTGCTACAATCATTTGCACACATACGTTGGCTCAGCCAACACGAATTCGGGTAGCTCTTCCATTGCGCGAGGACAATCCATTGTAGCCGTTTGAGACGCGGGCACGCAGTCACAGGGGGAAGCGATGCCCGTATCGCGAGATCGACGGATGGACACGCGCGCTCGTGACAGCCCCCACCTACCTCGATGGCAACCTCCACCAGCTGAAACAGTGTCACGGCGATACCAGCGTACGATGAGGCAACGGTTGAACGAACAGGGCATATTTCATCGGTTGAACGATCGCCACGACAGAGTCTACCTCCTTGTCCACACGATTGTCTCGTTCGCATGGCATGAGCGCGAAATCCATCGTCGTCGCGCGAGTCGACGTTGGTCGCAGGGTTGAAGATAGGATGCCACATGGCATGACCGAGGTTTGCCGTTGCGCGCAATGTGGCCATGCGATGGCGAGAAGCAGCTTCTCGGATGGACATTGGAAACGTGATCGAGCAGGGAAATAAATATCTCGTCATGGGCGATGCCGATCGATGGCCTGCCGGCTCGTCCGTCGCGGCGGTCCTTCAACACTTTGACTTGTTGGCAGACAGCGTGTGGTTGCGAGTCTCCCCGGGTCGAAGGGAGGGTCGGACGCCATGAATGCGAAGGATGCGCCGATGCCGCCGTGTATTCTCGGGGCTTCGCCCGCGGCAATTCGCGGGATGGATGGCGGGGACTGCGGTCCAAACACCTCGTGTCCTGTCACGTGGTCATGTTGTTGAGACTTGGCACGCAAGATAAAACGGGCCCATGCGGCTTGGACAAGCCCATCCTTTGAGCCACCCCCCCCCCCGAACTGTCCTCGCTGCATTGTGCAAGTTGCTTCCAGCCCCAACAACAACGAGAGAGTCATGTTGGTGTCCATGTCGAACCAGCACGAAACCCGCCACTTGATCGATCGGTTGCGGTCCGTCGGGCTCGACAAGTACATTGAGCTCCCTCAAATCGCTGTCATGGGCGACACGTCCAGCGGAAAGTCGTCGGTGTTGTCGGCGCTGTCTGGGATCACGTTTCCATCGTCGGGGAACCTCACGACGCGGTGTCCGACCCAGCTCATCCTGACGCATGCCAACACGTTTTCGGGAACGGTCCGGTTGCTGCGATTCGACCCCGCGGTCGAGTCGCCCGAGGCGGTGTCGGTTCGAAGCGTGGACGACGTGACCAGCCACATTGCCGCCCTGACGCAACAACTTGTAAACGAAGGCCAGTCGATCAGCGACGACGCGATCGAGATCAAGCTGCATGGGCCAGCCTTTCCCGACCTGACGTTGACGGACCTTCCAGGGCTCATTCGGACTGTCGGCGACCACGAAGACAAGGCGATGATTGCCCGCGTGGACAAGCTCGTGCACCGGTACTTGGTCCAAGATCGGACCATCATCCTGGCGGTCGTGCCGGCCAACGTCGACATGCACAACACGGCGATCATTCAAGCAGCGGAGGAAGCGGATCCCGACGGCGTCCGCACCATCTCCATCATCACCAAGCCTGACCTGATTGACCGGGGTGCTGAAGACGCTGTCGTGGATTTACTGATGAACCGGACCAAGCGCCGCCGCCTCGGCTACCATATTGTCAAATGCCGAGGCCAACAGGCGCTCAACAACAAGGTGACGATCCAGGAGGGCCTCGACCGCGAAGCCAAGTTTTTCGGCTCGCATCCGATCTGGTCGACTGTGGACAAGTCGCTGTGCGGTACGGCGCGGCTGGCCGAGAAGCTGACGGTGCTCCTCATGGAGACAGTGTCGAATTCGCTGCCCAAGGTCGTGGCTGAGATTGACGCCCAATTGATCCAGTGTCGTGCCAAGCTTGGCGCCCTTGGGGAGCCCATGAGTACCCTTGGTGTCCGGCGCAATGCCTACATGAAGCTTGTGCACGTTGTGGTCCATCGCATCGAGTGCGGCATTCGCGGTAACTACTACGACTCGTTTTTTGACGGCGAGGCGCTCGATTCCCGCCTGCGGGCGCGGCTGCGTTTGGCGGAAGCCGAATTCCAGAAGTCGATTGAAATGCTCTCGGCAGTTGATGCGGTCAATGTCGACACGTCGGAGCGGGTCCCCCTTCCTGGGGAATTCGTTGAAGTGACGGAGGATGGCGGGTCGACGTGGGTGACGGACCAAGTGACTGAAGTCAGTGAAGGCAACATCAAGACTGCCTGCACGCCGCCAACAATATGGCTGGCCAGAGAATCGGAGTGGCGCTTCCTGCCGGAACTCGAGCTATCGGAACTGAAAGAGATGATGGCGGCAAACCGCGGCGACGAACTGCCCATCTTCCTCTCGTACTCGACCTTTGCCAACGTCATTCGACAGAGATACGTGACCAAGTGGCGGCGGCCCATGGTCGACCTTTTTGACAAGTTCCAGGCGCTCATGCTCGAGTTTGTTGCGCGGGTGATTGCATCGGCTCCAACCAAACCCGCCCTCGAGATGTACTTGATGAGCAAGGCCAAGTCGATTTTGGAACAGTTGGCAACGTTGGCGATGGTGGAGCTCAACCACGCCATGCAGACGGAGGGCCGCCCGTACACTCTCAACCACAGCTTGTACCAAGTCTGTTGGGAACTTCGTTCCAAGCCATTGATGGCTTGAGTCAGAACACCCTGTTCTGTCGAGAACATCCCCACTGCCCTGTCCATCAGGTCGCAGGATGGTCCTGCAACAGTAGGAGGTTTTTTGTGCCTTTTAGAGGCTTTTTCCTCATGTCGTAGTAAGTTGCAGCGAAGGCCACGTCACATCATTAGGATGTCGTGACCTCATTGGCCAGTTGGCCTACACTGACTGATGGGCTTCGCCCACCGTCACTTCTACTTCTACTTCTATTACGAGAACTCCGTGTTTCTCCTCGCATCTGTGTTTCTCCTCGCTACCTGCCCTTCCAACTGCTTGCCTTGACGCTCTCTCAGGTACACGTCGTCGATGGGTGCTTGCATGGCAGACAAGTTTGTAGGTTTCGACAATTCGTGTGCTGTTCCAATTGGGGCAGTCAAGGCACTCGTACAGAGCCACACAGGATTTGGCAAGTTGACCAGCGAAGACCAGCAGGCTGTGGAGCTCCACTTGGCCATCCATGCGTACATGAAGGTGGCGTCCGAGCGCTTTGTCGACACAATTCCAATGCTCCTCAACACCAAGTTTGTCGAGCCGTTCTTGTCGGCCATGTGCAATGAGCTCTCGGCCACGACGGATGCTGTGTTGACCCGCGTCCTCGCCGACAACTTGGCCGACGTCGAACGGTAGCAAAGCCTGACGGCCCAGCTCAAGTCGCTCGAAGCTGCCAAGGCACTGATTCATGTGCAATAAACGTTCATGTAACATTTGTGGGAATTCGCAGTGCGACGATGTCGAGAGAGCACCACCCTTTTTCTCTGAGCAATTACGCCCGCCTAGCAAGGTTGGGTGCCGACACGGCAAGAGCCCCCTCCTGTTCCAACCTTGCCTCTGTCGTCAAGAGGGTGCTGGTGTCGAGCGAGAAGCAGCATCTCGGTGGCGAATCCACTGCCACAGTCCTGCACTAGATCAAACCCAGCATACGCTGGGAAAAGCAGCTTCCATCATGTCCGCTGCGAACACACTGACCCTCACCATACATACTCGGATTTTACAAGCCACACTCGAGCTGAATACGTGCACAATAAGTGCAGGTGATCGGACGTGTGTGGGAGATGTTGGGTGCGGCCAACGCGAAGTTGCGCTGAATCCGTCGTGCCGTGCTAGCGGAGGCGTTCGGATCAACCTTCCTATCCATCCGTCGTCGCTATTTTGGGAAGCATGCTTCAATGCGCTTACATGGGCGATCGATCCCAGACATGCATGTCGGTGGCATCGCTTCGCCCATCGGATCCTCCATAAAAATTGGCCGCATGTGACGATTGTGGAAATAATAAAGTAATGTTCCACCATTCGAATAAAAATTCGACCTCCATGCACCGGTTAATATGGGATTATTTTCATCAGCCGCCAATCTTTCAAGCTCGACGAATAAAAACATCCGTGTCGCTGGGTTGTAATCCCCCTCTGTAAAACGCACCGACTCGCGGCGACGAAGGATGGGTATGGGTTGTGGCGTCCGAGTGCACTTCACGGACGAGCCCAACACGCTCGGCCATGCCGCTCAAGCCCAATATTCGCTGTGCACACGACAACCCCAACAGCCTGGTGATTGATTGAGCCAGAGAACGGCACACGATGCCTACTGCACAACCCACAAGCGTTTGCTGAGTCGGTGGCAAGCCCCTCCCTTCATCACCTTGGAGGATGCAGCTCATGTGCGAATCTCTGGCGTGGTCGTCAGTATGATGTGAGTTCGCCCACTCGGTTGACATGCCAAGTCGCGTCGAGCACACAGAAAAGGTTTTTGTTTACTTGCATGATGTCGACATAGGGGGAGTGCTCCTTCGCAGCTCAAATACAGCGCTGAGCTCGGTACCGTCCAGCGGCCACTTGCGCCCGAGCGCGCCGACACACGCAGTGACGGAAGCCACGGATGTGAGGCACACGGACGGATGCTTTGTCACTTGGAACCCGTGTTCGCGCGAGACTTGGACGAAATGTGACGCTGTGCAATGCGATGGGTCGCACGACCCTTCGCAGTCGGCGTTGCAAGCATCCATCGACAACAGGGCGACACTCGTGCCATGGAAGACCCACGATATCGTTTGCACAAGAGGTTCGTGCGCTTTTCGGCCGACTTGGGTGATTTCGCTGCCCAAAATGATGTCGAAGGTCATGTCGGGCGCGACGTGGTCGCGCTGTCCCCACTCGAGTTCCCGGACGTCCACAGGACGTTCCAGACAGTCTTTGTTCAAGTCAATGTTGACCTGCAGCAAATCGGGAAACTCGTCGGTAAGGACGACGTGGCGCGCTCCCAACGCAACCGCTACAAGGCCGCAGAGGCCGCACCCGGCGCCGAGCTCCAAGATGGATGCCTGTTGGATGTTCAACGCTTCTGCATTCGATTCCAAGTGCGCACAGAGGACATGCGCACCAGGCCAGACTTCACCTCCCATCCCATCCACTCGTCGGGTGTCTTGCTTCACACATATCTCCGTCGTCGCCGTCGAATACCGCGCAATGTGTCCTTGCGTCGCCATCGTGCTGCGGCAGCCACCGACAATTATCCGGATAATCGGACATACATTCCCAATTATCTTCAACATGCATCCGAAATAACGTGGCGCGCCGTGCGCGAAGTCCACGAAACCTGCGATGTCCAACCCCTCAAAGCAGCGCCGTGGCCCCGCCGCAACGGGCCCCGCGCTTCTACTTGTTGCTTCATTCGTGACCATCCTTCCTCCAACGGTGTTGCCAGGGGGAGATTGAAGTGTCACAGCGGCACATTGCGCATTCCCGGTTGGAGATGGTGCGTGAGTATTGTGGCCAACGGTCGCATCGCTGTGCGTGGGAAGGGGCTGCGTGGAAAGTGCCGCATGGTATGGGAAAGGGTGTTCGCGAGCGGTGTTTTGTTCGGGTGGGGCAGCGAACGGCCGTTGCAACGGCCTCACACTCGTCGTTTCTACATCCGCCTTGGCTGCTCATTTCTTCTTTTTCCATGGCTTGCGGCTGCGATTCGTGCGTGTCCAACAACTGCGAGTGCGCTCGCTCGGGCGCCAGTGGCCATTGTAATTGCTCGAACTGCGAGTGCGGCCGCAGCAGCCACCGAGCCGCCTCGCAAGTGTCGTGCCAGTGTAACCCGTGCACGTGCGACGACTGCACTTGCGGCCAACCGTCCTCTTCCACGACGTCGACGGGCCAGACCAAGGCGTGCACGTGCACCAACTGCGACTGTGGCCAAGGCACTGTTACGTGATGGAGAGATCCCTTCCGTGGGCTCGACGACTTGCTGCGCCAAAGTGTCTGCATTGAATGCATGAGATGGACTATTTTTTTTAATTATATTTTAAAAATGAAGATTTTACGTAAAATTACTGATTATTTTGGTAAAGTAAAATTACTGATTATTTTGGAAGGTCATCCTTTTCGTAAAGAAAAGAATTTCGTTTCAGCGGGCTTTTAAAAGTCAACGAATCGTGCAAGCTTGATTGTGTACACAACCCTGGCACGGTCGTCGGGTCACGGCGGAAACGGGATGGCCCTGTGCTTTGTGCCTGCCGTGCCGATAGCAGCGCGATTGGCATCGCTGCCGCTTGGCCCTATCATGGCGATGATGTAGCCGCAGCGTTCCACGGCGCAAGTGGCATCCGCCTTCGGCAGACTCTGCCAACCACATAAACGTCGTGAAGAATAAGGAATTATGTCGGTTGCCTAGACGGTGATCATGACCTTTCGGTTGGGGTTCTTCTGGAGCTTGTGGCTTCGCGTGTCGAGTCGTTCTCTGTGCTTCTGAAACTTGTGCCGGACACTCTTGCTTTCTTGGATGGACCGGGCTTCCGCGATGTTGCCGGTGCGACGACTCAAAAACTTGTTCACGTACGACACACTGAGGGCTGTCGACATGTCAATGCCGGCCATTTGGTAGCACAGGAGCAGCCGCTCCTTCGTCTGGGCCAACACACTCTCGCGTGCGTCGTCGGGGCGGTGGCGCTGTTTGTAGTATCGGCGGTACTCGCGCTGGCCCAACTGGCGGCCGTCGGGAAGGACCAAGTTCCCCGTGTCCGAGATCGAGATCGTCTGGACGTCGGCGAGTTCGTCATCTTCTTCGTCGGAGCCGACTTCTTCAACGTCTTCCCACTCGGTCGAGCCGTCGTCCGGCGTCGCTGCCATCTTCCCCGACGCCACAAGCCCATACGACGCCGTGAAGTCGTAGAACTCTTCGTACTCGTGGAGGTCGTCGTCTTCCTCGTAGCGCAGCTTACAATGGGACAGATCGATCATGTGCTTCTGGCAGTCCTTGTACGTCCGGAATGCTTTGCCCTTGCCATTGCAGTAGAGGCAAATGTGCCCGAGCTTGACCTTTTCCACCAAGTACGTGATAAACCCGTCGAGATCCTGGAGGTACTCCAAGTCGGGAATGAAGAAGCCGTGGGTTTTCTGCATGTGAGTCAAATTTGCTTCGAGCGAGTCGGCTTCGTTGGTGCAGAACATGCAATGGAGGATGTTCAAGTTCACGTCAGGGTCTTGTTCGTCTTCGTTGTCCTCCGTGGATGCGTCGCCATCGGCAGCGGGCGGGTCCGCCGTCTCGACGTGCTGTTCAATCACTTTCGACGTGATGTTCTCTACGTTGTCGTTCTTCTTCACAGCCGCCAGATGCTTCTTCGTTGCTTTATGGTTCTCGACCGCTTTCACGCTCGTGAACGACTTGTTGCAGTTGTGGCACTTGAACGATTGCAAGACGGGATCGCCGACCTTGGGTGCTGTTGTCAGGGCGGAAGTGCCGTCGGCTTTGCGGGCAACGAACTGCTCAACCGTCACGGGTGGCAGGCCCACGACCTTGCGCTTGAGATTGTAGCGATGCCAGTCGAGCTTGAAGTGCTCCTTCTGCAACTCGTACGTCGCAAACTCCTCGCGGCATGCCGTGCATGTCAGCATCCTTCCAACTGCGAATATGTGCGCTTCAACTTCTCGCGGCGCTGCGGCATTTTAATCTTTTCTCTGCCATGTGAATACAAAATACAAGATAATAAAATAATAACATGTTCCCAGAGAATCCAATCACAGCGACCACCAATCAAATCCCGGAACCGTTCTAATTGGGCCAACAGTTCGCTCGTTTCATCCAAAAAATGTTCAATTCGCACAAAGCTGTTCAAAATGCCATAAAAATGTCTCCAATTCTGGATCCAGAATTGCAAATATGCTGGCGAAATTTGAAAATAATTTAGATAAATTTGGGAATTTGATGCAAAAGTTGTGGGATAAATTTGAACTGCAAGAAATTTCCATGTCCACATCTGCGATACGACATTCGATCTTTTCACTACAACAGAAGATGTGGCGCCAATTTGCGCGGCGAGCGGCGCCGACGATGGCGCGACCGTCTCTGGCCCGCTGCTTCTCTGCCCATGGAGATATTGCACGCGGGCCGTTTGCGACAGTGACGGAAGCGGACATCGTGCATTTTCGCAACGTTTGCAGCAGTGTACTCACAGATTCAGAAGCGGTTGCTCCGTACAACTCGGACTGGTTGAAAAAGTACCATGGACACAGCCAAGTCGTTCTGCGTCCGAAAACGACCCAGGAAGTGTCGGACATCCTCAAGTACTGCAACGAACGACGACTGGCCGTGGTGCCACAGGGGGGGAACACCGGCCTCGTCGGTGGCAGCGTGCCCGTTCACGATGAAGTCATCCTCTCCACGGGCAACATGAACGTGATTGAGTCGTTCGATGACGTATCGGGGATCGTCGTGTGCCAGGTGAGTCACGATCCCCTCACTCGTTGCGTCATCTGAGACCTCGTGCACAGGCAGGTTGCATTCTCGAAAACCTCGACACTCACGTCGGCAAATTTGGGTACATGATGCCGCTTGATCTTGGCGCGAAAGGAACATGTCAAATCGGCGGCAATGCATCGACGAATGCAGGGGGTCTTCGATTGCTTCGGTACGGATCGCTGCACGGATCGATTCTCGGCGTCGAGGCTGTGCTGGCGGATGGCACGGTACGTCCTTCCATGTGCTCCTAGAGTTTAATTACCGTGTCCATTTCCACAGATTGTCGATTGTCTGAGCACGATGCGCAAGGACAACACGGGTTACGACCTCAAGCAGATCTTCATCGGGTCGGAAGGCACGTTGGGCATCATCACGAGGCTGTCGATTTTGACGCCGCCGCGGTCGGCCGCCGTAAACGTTGCGCTCGTCGGGTGCGAGTCCTTTGACGCCGTCAAAAAGACGTACGTGGCCGCGAGACGGCACTTGGGCGAGATTCTATCGGCGGTCGAGTTCTTGGACCGCGGATCTCTGGACGTGGTCATGTCCCAACAGCCCGACCTCGTCGATCCACTGGAGACGGCATGTCCGTTTTACGTCCTGATCGAGACCGCCGGGAGCCGCGCTGACCACGACATGGAGAAGCTCGATGCGTACTTGGCCACCATGATGGAAGACGGCCACGTCGTCGATGGCACAGTCGCGCAGGACGCCAAGCAGGCGAGGAAATTGTTTAGCATCCGCGAAGACATCACGCTTGCGCTCTGCTCCAAGGGTTACGTGTACAAGTACGACGTGAGCATCCCAATCGACGACTACTACAAGATTGTCGAGGACATGCGCGTTCAGCTGGCGGAGTTTGACGCCGACGTCGTGGGCTATGGTCACCTGGGCGACTGCAATATGCACCTCAACATCTCGTCACCCTCGTACGATAGCGACGTCATGGCGGCCATCGAGCCGTTCGTGTTTGAGTGGACAGGTGCGCGTCTTCGTTTGAAGGATGCATCCGGCTGATGACGACTTTGATAGCGGCACGACGTGGAAGCATCAGCGCCGAGCACGGCATCGGCACGCACAAACCGTCGTTCCTTCACTTGTCCAAAGCGCCACATGCCATCAAGATGATGCAGCAGATGAAAGCCGTGTACGACCCGAACGGAATCCTCAACCCTTATAAGGTGCGTGCGCTGCCCGTTGCTGTCAGGACTCACGACGCTACCGAAGGTGCTGCCCAAGGCACAGTAGGGCGCGACTACCCCCCCTCCCCACTTTTCAAAGATTTGAACATGAGCGTGTGCAATGTCTGGTTGAAGTCGCTAGTTGAGGCAATGTTGGGCAGCGTGTGCCAAGCAAGCGATCGCGAGGCAAAGTGAGCGGGCGGATCAGTGCTCGCCGACTTGCTCAAGGACGGCCAGCCCATGATGAGGCACATTGCGACACACGAGATGCTTGTGTTGTTGGCCTGTGGGGTGATGGCGGGCACAGCTCGAGATGAACGCCACCGTGTCAAAGTTGACATGCGTCGAGAGCACTGCGACGATACCAGACGCCCTCTGGCTGGTTCTCGCTGTCGTGGGGAGTCGTACAGTCGCCACCATGGGCGAGTTCCTTGTGTGCACTACGGCACCAGCAGGACAAGGATGTATCCGCTGTCGCATCAAGCCAACGTCGCTGTGGATGGAGACGGCGCTCCTGGGCCGCTCATCTTGCTATCGCGGCCTCGTGCAAGCTGGGCTCCCAGGATTCCTGTGACAGGTACTAATTCGGCATGGAGCATGGCCAAACCTCTCGCAGAGACGTTTGCCGCCAGTTCAACCACACGCCGTCCCCGACCTCTGTCGCTACCAAAAGTGTAGCGCAATGAGAGCGAGGCCACGGAGCCCACCTGAAGCGCTACAGCTCTCCAGTTGGCGTGCCCAAGTACTGCTAGCCCCCTGTCGTACGATTCGACCGACGTCTTTTTGTGTTCGTCGCCGTCGATTGCTGTGTTAGGTTGGCGCTACAGGATATCTTCAGCGTGCGCAAAGTCGAGCTTGGACAGTCGCACGGACGCAAAGATCTTTTCGGGGAGGTCGGCTTCGGTGTCGCCTTGAAGTGTCAAGTGCACGTCGACGTCGAGCTGGTTGGAATATCCGCGGCAGAGCCCGACGATGTTGGCCGCGATTGTGCTGGACGGGATGTCCATGTCGACTTCAATGTAGTTGGGACCACAGACATATCTCTGGGTGAGTTTGTTGCCGACGAGGGCCGGCTTTTGCGGTACCATGGCCTTGACCACCCACGGCGCGGTCACGAGCGCTGGGATGAGCTTCAAGTGGGCATTGCAGAATGCAGGCGTGTTGGCATGAATGGCGTCTTGGAATTGAGCCCAGAGGCGCGAAAACGGCGGGTGCTGCGCCACGTCGGCCGACGAGACCAGCCAGTAGCACACAACGTGGGCGAACGGTGTGCCAGGCACCTACGACAACAGTGACGGTATGGAAACGTGAAGAATGGCGGACAGCACCTGAAAATTGAGCACAAACACCTTGTCGGATGGATGTTCGTGTTGAAAGTACCGGAGAATGCTGTTGGGACGGTCCAAATCGACCAGGGCGATGTGATCGATTCGACCGGGACGCGCCCGCGTTCCTTTCCACACGTCGACGTGAACGAGCCTTCCAAGACTAGGTCCAGCAGGCATCTTGGTGCTGTCCTTGACATAGGTCGGTCCACGAACGAGCACGGGTGCTGCGGACGGCTCGCTCCACATACTCGTGGTGTTGGATCGTAACTGAGTCACATGGAGGGCGTACTTTTCCTCCCACGTCATGGCGTGTCGCAAGCGTGGAAGGGCGGACGTCATCGGCTCGGGTGCACACGCTTCCATGCACGAATCGCTCTTCCTTCGACGACTGGCAGTCGACGCGTGGTCCATTGTCGCTGTCGACGTCACGAGCGGAAAGTGATGGACGGCAGACTGGTCGGTTGTAAACGCGAGCGGTGTCGACTTGAACAACAGGAGGAGGAACACTTCCAGAGGAAGCAAGAGGCCCTCCATCAGGACGATGGTCGTCTCAAGGACACGCAGGAGGACGCCGTCCGCCATGCCGAGGAGGAGGATGGGCTGCCGCCTGTCGAACGATTTCCAAGAATATCTTGGGGGGATGCCGAGGGCACAAATATAGAGTCCGGATAATGTTGCACTGTATCCGGAGCAACGATGGCGTCCGGATACGTCGGAGACGGGCGAGTATCTCATTGTGGGATTTCTCGGGCAAGAAGGACGCCATGGGCGACGACGACGCGCTGTGCCGCTACTGCTTTGGCGACGAGGCGGATGGGCCGCTGATCTCTCCATGCAACTGTTCTGGAGGTGAGGATAGGCGTTAGACGACGACTCATTACGTTCTAGGACAGAAACATGTCCACTTGGCTTGTCTGCGCCGATGGCAACGCATGGTGCTTGTCTCGCAACCGACGCACCCTGCGTTCTACACAGACGACAAGCGACATCACATATGTAATGTGTGTCTCGCGCGGTATTCGTGTCCACCTCCAACGCGCGCAGAGCTCATGGAATCGTTCACGGGTCCAGAAATTGCCGCTCTCATCGACGAAGGGCGACTGATTGCAGCGAGTCCTCAATTCTCCGACATGTTGGCTGCAGATCGCAACGAAACGGACCCGCGCTTGAGGCGACGAGGGGACGACAGCTACGACTTTTGGTACCATGGAGTGTACCTTATCACTTCGGTTAGAGAGGATGCGGGGGAAGTGGAGCTGCCGTTGTCGACTGCTGACAGGCTCGAGTCCGTTCGTCGACAGCTCACCCGAGACAACTCGTCCAATGAACTGAGCATCGAAGTCCGAGGCACGAAATTCCTCCTCGTACCCAAAGGCTCCCTTGCCGACACCGCACTGTCCAACTTGGCCACGGCACTGGACGCACTCACCGCCCCGGCTACCCTTGTACTCGCCCCCAGCGCTCCCATGTCGTGCGGCGACGATCACGTGGCAGCTGTGTGCATTTCACGCCTGTTGAACCCCTCGTCGGTTCGCATGCAACGCGCAGAAGCAGCAATCGAGCGCGCGACTGCTCGTCTGCGGCAGCAGTACAACAATATCGACGGGTCCTTGGTCGTGCAGCATTTTGCTGGCGGTCCGTGCGATCAACATGCAGTCGCAGCGTGCGTTATTCGTGGCGGGACGGGTTGGACAGTGTTGTCAGATTTGGACGAGGCCGTGGGGTTGGCGTATCGTCGGCGAGAATCCACCCGACGCGGCGCCGTGAGTTCTGGGCTCGGTGTGCGCATGTGTGGGCTGCAGTCGCGGCCAGACTTGAATGGTCAACTGGGCATGGCACTTCGCTTCGACGACAAGGCCCAGCGTTGGGAAGTGCGTGTGGCAGGAAGCGGCGAAGGCATCAAGCTCAAGCCAGGCAACATGGACCTCCTCGAGACCGAACCGGTGCATTTGATGGTGTTTTGGGGAGACGCCCAATGGACCCGTGCACAGCTCTTGGGCGAGATCGCGCGGGGGAGTTGGGGTCTGTGTCGAGCCGACATTGAAGACATTCTCGTGCCCATCTCGGACCGGTGGACCAGGTTGAACGGGAGTGGCCGCTTGGCGTTCGCGCCCGTGTCGGAGATGAGCGAAGATTACATTCGCCATGCGACGGAAGAGATGCAGCACGCGCGAGTGAATGCGCTGGCCGCGGTTGAAGCAACGCGAGATGATGGCGGAGCTGCCGACGATTGACGCTGTGCGTGCGCCGCTATCTTGCATATTTAACTTGAACGCGTTTGCATGTCGACGACCTGACCGGGGTGTACCGCCAGTTGTCCACGGTGAAATTCGAGTCATCTTGCACACTTTGTAGGGGAGCGCAGCTGGGGGCAGCCACGAGCCCCACGGATGCACTCGACAGGATCCCGTAGTCGGCCGCAGGCGACGACGTTGCCGTGGCTGTTGAAGACGATGTCGAGCCTCGACAAAGTTGGAGCCGCTACCCGCGTCATGCGCTGGCGACAGCGACGCCCTTCGCGGCATCTCTTGTGCCAATTTATGTTTGCAGCGTCGTCGAGAAGAGCTGCATCCGTGCAAGTGGGCCTTCTAGAGCACGTCGACCCAGACCAGTCTCGACGGATATTTTCGTTTGCACATGGCTTGGTCTGAGACGGATTCATGGCGCACAACACACGTCGCGGGAACGGCGGCGTCGTCGCTTTCGGCATTCCACCAATACACGCAAAGCACCGACTGGATGCACGCTCGTGCACCACTGCACGTGACTCGCATACCACGTCAAACCCAGTGCCTGCATTTTGATTACAAAGCACCTCCACGAGGATGTCCACCCTGTGAAGGAGTGTGCACCTCGACATCACTCCAAGGCATCGCATTCCGTACCACTCGAAATCTCGGGAAAATGAATCAACCAAACGCAGGCAAGACATAGCGTCAACATGCTTGAGCGCATGCAACTCCTTTTCCCGTTGTCGCTCGCTCGCTACGTCGTCCATCCCGCCCGTACGTCATCGTCGACAACTTGGACGGGCGTGCTGATCCCTCTGGCGACACGTTCACCCAGACACTTGCCATGTACCGACGTGGGTTGCCCTGACACACATGTCCACATTCGTGTCAAGCCATGGAGACAAGGCCAACGACGTGAATACCACACGAATGCCAATGGCCTGTTAGCGTCGACGGTGCGGCTCCGTTGTCCCGCTTGACTTCACTGCTTCCGGGACAGTCGTCGACAAGATGACGGCGGATTCGTTTGACAAGGGTGTTGTGGATGTCCCGCGTGACAATTCCTCGTTCATCATGCGGCGAAAACACATGCAGATTTCGGCATTTGTCACGTGCCGCGTAGGGGTTTCGACAACGGACTTTTTTGCTTCAGTGGGACGTTGCGCCATCTCAAGACTGTGACGCGAGTGTCCGAGGTCTCAAGCAAAGAGGCCACCGACGTCGAGGTAGCACCGGCAAATGCAGGAGCTGGCTCGTTTCGTTGGGAAAAGTGTGCGTGTGGTCTCTAAATTCCTCGCTCAACAAAATATGTTGAGGACGGGACCTCGACCAAGGTCACCGCTTCGACATCCGTCCAGAAGGCATGCGTGGCCACCGTCGACGCAACCGGGTATGCCATGAGTGCCTCTAGTGCATCTATAGAATGGCATCAAGCAAGAAGGATGGATACGAACACCTCTATTTCCGACGAAACAAGTACATGTACCCTGCACCGAACGGCGGAGTGTCCGAGATCGCGACCTTGGCGTCGTTGAAAAAGATCCACTTTTCGTCCTTTTTGATGTGGGCCACGTAATGGCCGCTGTGCGTGTTGTTCCCCATGTGACTCACAAACCCAACCATTTCGTACTCGCCATGGCTCACGCTCTCCCACTTGGATTTGATGTCTTCGTCGGATGTCGAGGTATTTTGCTTGCGCTCGAAGTCTCGAACCTTGGACTCGAGGTCGTCCATGTTGCTAAACAGCCATTCGGCGGCCAAATCTGGATTGCCCCCAGTCTGGTCCAAGGCACACTTCGCTTGGACTTCGCTGAAACCCATCATCGTCAAGTTCGCAACCACGTCGGCAGACGGGCCGTCGCTGGACGACCTGCCACGAGTCACAGGTACCACAGGACTGTTGAAGTCGGCATCTTCCATGTGGGTCAAAATCCATTCCATCGCGACTTCAGTTGATGCGTTCGACGTTGCCAATGCAGCTCGCTTGCATCCGTTTTCGGAAAATCCCATCGCCACCAGCTCAGCTACCAGTGCTGCATCGGGTTCGAGAGCCGCCAGTGCGGACGTCGCAGCATCGCCACCGTCCGGCAATAGCACTTCGTGTGCTTGTTTGCCCGTGCTTTGGAACGACGACAAGTCCAACGATTCTGGCACTGGTACCGACACTTCCATTTTCTTTGGGGTCCAGTCGTCCGACACGTAGTATCGCCGCATTTGCACCAGCAGATACTTGGGAAATGTCTGGAAGCGAGTCGTCTTCGTAGCAGGGCCCTTGCGTCCCAACGCCGTCGAGTAAAACCCGTCGAGGAGCTCCGGTGCAAACGCTTCGTGAATGCACGCGTCGAATGGCACGAGGGGGACGACCGGTTTCTGGCGACCTTGTTTGTTCTCGAGGTCCGTTTCGAGTTTTTGGCGCTTGAATTCTTGCACTTCGTCAGCGTTGGTGGCTGCATCGAGAGGAATTGCAAGCTGCAACAAGTTTTCTCTGCGATGCACGTATTTCACCTGGATCAAACGCGTTATTCCCAACTCGTGCGACGTCATGTACCTGACGAGAAGTAGTGCATTCAAGGCGATCTTCCATGGAGAACGTAAACAGCGGCTTTGTTGTCGACGACGACGAACCTCTCTCCTCCGCGGCCTCGAGGGCGTCTAGGAGATGTTGAAGGTACTCCACCGCATCTTGCTGTCGGTTCGACGAAAAGTCGGCGTGGTTCTTGCCCACCACGGACCGAAGCATGAGTGGTCGCAGTTCCTCGCCAACATATCGATCCGAGTGCAGAGCTTTGACCAACTTTGCAAACTGGGTCGACAAGTCCGTCGCAGGAGATGCCGCAACCGGTGTTGTTGGGTTGGAGTATCGCTCTTGAACTTCGGGCAATGCCGCCAAGAGTTGAAGGACCGAGTTCACATAGCAACTGTTGCCCAAGTTCACAAGGCCAATGTATCCCGGTCCAGAAATTGGCTCGAGATTTTTGCCTTCTTCCATGATCGAATCAAAGTCCCAGTTCTTGTTGAGCTCCACGTTCAATTCGTTGATTGTCTTTTCCGTTTTTGTAAGTTCGTCCACCTTAATGCCAAAATGATGCAAGTGTGCTGCGAGGTTTGGATCAAGCACCATGTCATCTTCAGCATAGCTGTACACGTCGCCTCCTCCGGCAGGAGTAATGGTGCCCAACTTAACCGCGAGCGGGAAGTTCCGTCCCGTGTCTTCAAAATGTCTCAAAGCTTCGCCGCATCCACCCGAGCCGTCAAAGTTGCGGCGACCACACCCGACATAACCGTCAGAAAGGTTCATCCACAGATTTTCCTTCTTGTCACAAGTTTTACTGCTGCACACCCATGTTGAAGGATTGCCTGAAATCGGAGCGCAGTCTTCTTTTGGCAGTTGAATCAGGTCGAATGCATACTGGGACACGGCAATCTCCTCTTGCCAACTTTTCACCTGCTCCGTGACATAGTTCCCTTGATGGTTCAGCACAGATTTCACGGAATCGCGGATCAAGGCAGGAAGGGATGGATCCGTCAACTCGAACGAGCGTTTTTCCTCGCCCTCGAAAAACACAACAGTCTGCGTCTTGTTCACTTCAACTTGGTCGTCATTGAAACCACCGTCGACGCCGATGGCCATCTTGTTGACTTCCTCCAGCACCTGCTTCTTAACTCCCGTGCGGACAAATTGCTGATGGAGGTACACCTTTTGCTTGGTCTTGGCAATGTCGTCAGCAAGGTGGAGTTCACCAAACGATTCAAACGTGCTCAGGTTCGTGTAGAGCCCGCCTTTGGTGAACGGCGTGTCGAAGGAGAGGACGCATTCGTCCTTGTACACTGCGCTCGATTCCTTCGCCACCTTCACCAAGCCGAAGTTCTCCAACCCCATGCTTCCACGAACGATGCGAATGCAAAATGAGCCTCACGTCCCATCGATAGCGAATCCAAAGGAAAGTACGTGTTCATTTAATATTAGGATTTTATCGCGATACAAAAAAAGAGCTTACCTTCTCCATTTAAAAACACTTTTCGCGGCACCAAATATCTTCAAATTTGTATGCTCGTTCACGTGGGTTGAAAAATCACACCACAGCAAGTGCCATGCGATGGACATCTCCTGAATGCGTCCATCGTCGTCCAAGTAGATCCCGTCGCGGGGAAGGATGACACCTAAAAGTGACGCATATCTGTTGGCGAAGACGACTATCCTGCGTTGCCTGCCTTCATGCCATGGAAGAATGAGCCGTTGCCTCAGCATGGACGACTCCTGACGTCATATAGAAAATGGCGCATGATACTCTCGAAGGATAGGTCTTGAACGAACGTGGAGCGCTGGAGGTTCAGACAATCGTTGATATATGGACACTGTTATTACACATTGATGAATCGGCATAAATGGCGCTTTGGTCATGCATTCTTCCCATGTTCGTTTGTCGGGTTTGGGTGGACTCTTCACCGCCGCTTGAGGAGCTCGAACACCAAGTCGACGTTGATGCGACCCATTTCTTCAAACGCATTGGTCTTGGTCACGGCGTCAAAGTTGTTCAGCATGAATGCAATGCAGCGTTCTCGAAGAATTGTGGCGGAATGCACGTCGGCGGCATGCAGAATCGATGCAGCGTTCTCGATGCACAATGAGCTCAGCATTTTGCTCTCGCAAATTTTCTTCAGTCGATCGACGCCATATCGATCTGCTGCCACAAACAGTTCCATGGCTGCCTCCACGTCGACATTGACATGGTCTGTGTACAAGTACTCGAGGAATGCAAGGAAGATGGATCGGCGAACGTCGGATATAACCACTTCTCGCGCACGACTCTCAAGCATCTACCCAACATCATCAACCCGTAGTTCCAGTGTTGTATCTTCCACTTGATTCCATACCTCACTCGTCAGCATTGCCTTGAAGTAGCTGCAGCGCACGCACAAGATCTTGTGCGCGTACACCGGTACGCCTTCGACTGTACATACACACCATCAAGACAACCCCTCAAACGCATACAACAGTAAGGTCGTACCGATGAATGTAATGTCGCTCATGACATTCGAATTGACCATGTCGCGAAGATCGTTGACGAGGCATGGTGGCGGGATGTCGAGCTCGATTTCTTCGCCAAAGCGAAACTCCTTGAAGTCGTTCAAGCGGTTCGAGCCATCGTAGCCACCAAACAAGATCAAGCTGTCATCGTAGACACAGCCGACGTGGCAGAAACGTTGTCCTGGTGCAGGTCCGTTGAAAGCAATGGGTTGCCACGTGTTGGACTCTACAACCACAATCGAATCTCGCGACTCGTGGGCTACGTGCTCGTACCCAAGTTGAGTTCGTGGAAATCATTCATTGCGCTGCCTGTGCTCCCGCCAAATATGTACATGGAGCAGCCGTGGGTGACAGCAACATGGCTGTCGCGCGGGATCGGCGCCGGCCCTTCAACGACGAGCAATGTCCATGTCTTCAACACTGCAAATTCGAAAATGCGTCAATTGTCTTGGTTTTTGTATGGTGATTCCCGAGCTTTTTCAAACCGTACCAAAGTTGAACACGTTCACGTCGTTAAGATGGCGCGAACCGTCGTGACCGCCAAAGACGAGGCACGTTGTCTTGTGCGTGACGAGTGATGCGCGGTACCTACGTCATCGTTCTCGTGAAGGTGGTTGATGCAACGAGGACGATTGCGCACCGGGGGCGCGGGGAACGGCCGGTTGACGCGACAGTCGACCAGGCCGCGTTTTCTAATACAGCATTGTCACGATAAGCAAGGATCATGGTCAGCTGTACCAAATTGGAACTCGTAAAAGTCGTTGCGGTAGCTGCCATCGTATCCCCCAAAGACATAGAAGGAGTTGTCTACAAGATCGTCGTAAGTATGAAGGAGTTTCAACGCTCGACACATGAGAAGGAAACGTGACACTGGTCCTACCATACACGACAGCCGAATGGCTGTGGCGGGGCGAAGGTGGCATCCCAGACATGACGACCACAGGCGACCATTGCTGCGTCACTACACGAGTGCGCATGCAATAGTGATGGATTTGGATAATACAAGAGAAATACCGAAGTTGAACCCGATGAAGTCATTCACCCGCGAGCTGCCATCAAAGCCAGCAAACACGTAAAATCGATCCTTGTGCACGGCTGCAACGTGGCGATCACGCGGCGTCGGAGGTGTTCCCAGCGCCATTACTTGGGACCACACCTTTCGCTTGAAGTTGTACTCGAAGAAGTCATTGACTCGGTTGGACCCATCGTAGCCGCCAAACACATACATCGAGTCCTTGTGAATGGCACACACGTGGAGTGAGCGATGGCACGGCGCCGCCGATGGGTTCTGGCATGGAACTGTGATCCAACTGCGTGCAGACGAGGCGCCGGATGCAGGTTTGGATGGTTTTACGACGTGGAGAGATCCAAATCGTCCTCCCGTGCGGGTCGTCGATTCATTTCCATACATGTGGCCAAATAGCGATGCTTGCAGCGACGACGTCGGTGCAGCAGAGGCAGTAGGTGGAACATTGTGATACGTGACAGGAATTGCCATCCGATCGTTCAACGGGCTGTGGGACTCCAGAGAATAGTCGGCAGCAGTGAGAGGGGCCGGAAAATGGACTCCTGCAGCGGGCGTGTGATGGAGGACGGACGAACTCTGGGGCGGCGACCTATCTGAGTTCATCGCCGCGCTTTCTGGATTCTGTTGAAGAGCCTTGATAATCCTTCCATGATCGACGAATTATCCGGATTTTTATCCGGAAGACCTTTTGCATGTAGGTCCTGCCTGAATAAACAGAAACGTAAAAAAATACTTTTGGTATAGTCAATTTAAAACCGTGTAAAAAACCATACTTCGAAGTACTATACCAGTATTCTTAATCCAATTAAAGGTTTAGATGGATTAAAAAGGACTGTTTTTCTTAAAAATTATTATTTGAATGTAATAAAATATGTATATTAAGAATGTAAAAATTGAATTCATTATATTAAAATATATTCTACCAAGTTTGGAATATTTATATTTTTATAGTTTTTATACATGTTGGGATGGATATTTTTGTGTGTATATCTCATCTATATATTTAAATAACCTTAGTATATCCGGATATGTCAAACTTCCATCGTGATGTAAGGCGGCAACGGACATCTCCATGGATGTCGAGACTCTGCGCAAGTGGGGTGGCTTTTCGCCTTGGAAAAGCGCGTGGGAGTCCTGTCGCAATGTGGGTGGGGGCTATCGAGATGACTTGGCAAAATGCACCACCGTCAAACGTGGTATTGTCGACGAATCTCCGCCATTGCGCAGAGCTTGCACGACAGTATGGAAGCAATTTCAGATCGTAGGTTGCGGTCATGGAGTTGGCCACTATGTTGTACATCCACGGGCTCGCTAGCATGTTGGGTCTCCACGATCATGTGTCGACGACATCGCCACCGACAGCAGCCATGTCGAGATTGTGCTCCACTGGACAGACTACCGCTGGTCAAAGATATGCATGCAGGATGCAGAGATTGCATGCCTCGGAGCAGGCTAGTAGCTGTATGTTGTGCATTGACGAGTTGGCTAGCAAGGTGGGTATCCACGAGGATGTGTCGGCGACACCACCACCGACTACATCCATGTCGCGTACAAGTAAGCATTGTGCTTCCCTCGACAGATAACTACCGCTGGCCAAGGTTTATGCATGCAGGATGCAGAGATTGCATGCCTTGGAACATGTGTTCAACTGTGCTTCCAGCGTCGACGGCTGTCGTTGTCGTGGCAGAGCGCGCCCGAGGGCACGATGTCGCTACTGGGAGACATGACGGCGAGGTAATGCCGGCCGCGTCCTATTTAGGCCATCTATTTGGACTTTCGAGCTTCGAGAAGGCCGAATCTCAGTTCCAAACCACCCAAATTCACAACTCAACCTGGTTTTGGGTACATGTCAGTCCACTCGCGGGACACTCGGATCCACGACAGGTCGATGCCGGCATCCCACGAACATGCCCCGACCGCTGCCGTCGACGACGCCGCAGTCCCGGACACCTCTTTGATCGGAGATGCTCCGTCTATGGACGCGACGCACTCGATCGCGCGTCCGTTCACAGCAGTCCAAGCATCCTCGACATGGAGTCAACTGTCGTCGCTGCATGAATCGGTCTTGACACCGTTCGCGTGGAAGCTCGACGTGCAGCAGAAGAGCTTCATCGCAGGTGCCGCGGCCGGCATAGTGTCGCGTACAGCAACGGCCCCCATGGACCGCATAAAGGTCGCACTGCAAGCAGGTCACGCGCACGGCGGCGTCTGCCACGAGTCGATCCCATCAGTGGCGCGCAAGATTTATGCAAGTGGTGGATGGACTGCGTTCTTCCGCGGCAACGGTGCCAACGCGATCAAAGTCACGCCGGAATCCGCTATCAAGTTCTGGTCGTTTTCGTTCTTCTCCACGCATTTTCCGTACCACGAGCATGGCGAACCTCTGTCGCCGGTGGAGAAACTCGTCGCCGGCAGTCTCTCCGGCGCGATCTCTCAACTGGCGATCTATCCGCTCGAGATTGCCAAGACGCACTTTTGCCTCGGTGGCGAGTACAAGTCTCTCTGGCATTGCATCTCGAGCATTGCGTCCAAGGATGGCTTTCATGGGCTCTATCGCGGTCTCGTTCCATCTCTTCTCGGCATCGTACCGTACGCAGGTGTCGACCTCGCGCTCTTCTTCACGCTGAAGGAACTATACACGACCAAATTCGACGTCGCGCCTTCTGTCGGGCATGTCCTCGTGTTTGGCGCCATCTCGAGTTCGTGTGGTCAGGTCGTGTCGTACCCGTTGCAGGTCGTCCGAACGAAGCTCCAAGCACAAGGCATGGCAGGCCGGCCTGTCGTCTTCACCGGCATGACCGACTGCTTCGTCAAAATCCTACAGAGCTACGGACTCCGCGGCCTCTACCGCGGCATAGTCCCCAACTTTCTCAAGTCTGTCCCCGCCATATCCATCAGCTACGCCGTTTTCGAAACTGTCAAGGACGCGTTATAATAAAAATTTGCCGTCAAAAAAGAACCGTGCTGTTTGTCACGGAGGAAATTTGAATTTTCTCGATATATTTTGCTGTATCGACCCCAATATTCTGGAAAATGACATTTTCCGTTGAATGAATATTTTAATATCTCAAACGAAGTGTCAACATGGTTGAAATGATATTTCTATCGAAAATCCTTTTTCTATCATTTGATGTGTCAAAAGAAGGGTCAACATTTCAGAAATGACAGTTTTTTCATAAATACCCATGGTCAATCTCACATGGACTCATCAACGACGTCGCATCTTCCACGGACGTCGACATCGACCCCCTCGGTCGGTGTGTTCTCGGCATCGCCGCAGGAAGTACCGACACCGTTGACGCGATTTGCGACGAGTTCGTCTCGTGGACGAGGATGCACTTCTCCAGGGTATTCATCCACGACTTGGCGTCGTCTGAGGTGTCGGCTGCAAAGCCCACCCGCTGCAACGCGCGCATGGTGAGTCCACCCTTTGCCCGACGAGCGTGTTGTTTGGGATACAGAACTGACTTGACTGATGCGTTCGGTGCTGTCGCGCAAAGTTCAAACCCCACCGGCGTCCCAGCGATGCCATCGACCTTGACATTCTCGAGAGCGTAGAACCCGAGGGGATCGATATCCTCTTCACGCTCGAAGAAGTAGAGGCAGTGATTCGTCAAGATGAACCATCTCCGCCGTGTCTTGATGCCGGAAATGTGGTACGTCTTCAGCCAGCCCGTCTTGTCGGGATTCTATACGATGACGCTGTCACCGTCATGAGCACATGGATGGATTGTACCGCGAACAGGTTGCCGTTGTCATCGCGATCGCGCACGGTCTCGACGGGCGTCTTCTACAGGGGTGTGAGACTGTCGATCGATGCGACGGACGGGTGGACCTTGATGCTGTCGTAGATGGATTCGAGAATGGCGGGTGGGATGTCCGACTTGTTTTTGTCGATGCCGCGATTGTTCCTTACGAATTGCGCCTTCGTCATGCGGTGTCTGTTGTTCATGCTTTTGTTGTGCAGATCCGTGTTGAGCATGATGGTCGAGAATGCCTAGTGCTGCGCCATGACGTTGCGAGGCACACGGGAGACTCAAACCAGGATGTGCGCGGCGTCGTGGTGCTGAAACATGTGCGGGTTCTTCGCATGAAAGGCCCTCGCAAACGCTTCCATCGTTCGGTCGATCTTCTGGCTTTCTCCCGGCAGGCGAAACTTGGACAAAAAATCACGCAAGCACACCTCGAACGGCTTGCCTTCCCATGGAAAACCTGCCGTCAACATACCGATGACGCGTGTTCGAGGAAGGACCGAGGGAGCGAGGCATACTCATAGCGTACGCAGATAGCACGCTGATGCTGAACGCGTCGTCGCCGCCGAGGTACTCGCCGATCTTGTCCTTGTCCAGACCCTTGGTATGCCGCAGAAAGGCCGCCGTGGCGGATGGACTGTCGTCGTCAATGACGCCGAGGTCGGCCGCCGTCGATATCCCGCTCTTGGGCTTTACGTTGAAGCTACGAATTGCAGCGTCCACGCGGTGGCTGCATGCCCCAAGCACGTCGACGCTCGACTGCGACGACGACCCTCGTTCTTGCCGCGTTGGCATCGTCGACGGGGCCTGGACGTGTTCACCTGCCGTGCTCAACCGCCGCAGACGCAGCTGTCGGGGACTGTGCTGTTGCTTGGCGGCATGGAAGCTCTTGAGGATGTGCGCGAGCCCAAACACCACGCGGCTGCGCAAGTCGGTGCTTGTCGCTTCGAACGTTTCCACGACCAAGTCATCGTCGACCACATGGGTGAGTGTGAATCGGCGGAGTCGAACGGCGGCGTCGGCCGCTACGCAACGCGTGAGGTCCGCATGCGATGACAGAAACAAGCGAGTTTTTACCACTTCCTGTGCTGCAGTCAGCGACGGACACCATGTTGTTCAGGTCAATGCGGCGGACAGCCTCCACTGCGTCCAGATCGTCGTCCGAGATCCCGGCGTTCTCGTTGTTCCCAGCGTCTTCGTCCCCAGCGGCGAGCATCGGCACAAGTCGGATTTCCCGCGGCACGGCGGGGTCCATGTCCATGCACAAGAGATATCGCAGTCCGACCGCGGGCGGCACCGCGACCTCGGTCACCTCGATGCCCTTGGACACGAGCGCAAGGAATCGCAGCCATAGATCGCCATGGATCGACCGCTTTCGCAGCGTCTTCCACATGCTGTCGTCAAGGCGGAGGCTGCCATACTCGGACACTTGCTTGGATGCGTACGTGATGAGTTGCTTGGTGATGTCTTCGCCGTACCGTTCTAGCGCCTACCCAAGCACGCGGCGTCAACAACGATCGGTCGACAGCCCTTACGTTGTCGCAGAGGAGGGCCGTTTGCAGAGCTTGGATCCATTGCGCTTTTTCCCCTCGTTGGATCTGCTCTGGGTCGAGCTTGAACGTTTTCTTTCTGCCAAGATGCAGGACGACTGCATGTCCATGAGATGTCGCGGAGGGTTGCGACGGAACGTGCGTACCGTCAAACTGATCCGCGACACGGTAGTCGGTGTGCACGTGCTGGATGAGGAGCACGCGATGCGGCGTGGTGCATTTTGGCGAGTCGTCCGCGGCCGACTTGGTCCGATACAGCTCCATGTTGCGGCCGCGAAGGATGCAATAGTGCTTTCTCCACCCAAACACATTGCGTTTGTGCAGATACCCTTGGTGAATGAACTGCGGCGACGACATCGCACCAAACGCCGGCGGTGCGTGCTGCTGCATGACTTTCTTGGCTATGCAGTGAGTTTCGATGTGACCAGCGTGCTGCCGAGTGCGTTGAGTGGACCGTTACCGTCCTGATCTTCGACCCACAGCGCGTGATTGATGTTCTAGTCGAACAAATCACGTGTCCTGCAGTATAATGTTGGTTGCTTTTCCTCGTTGTTTCGACAGAAGTCTTGTTGCCCACCGCCATCGCGCCACACGCCGCGATCGAGTCGGTCGCGCGGTCGCACGTCGCTGGCGGAGGCGACGGCAAGCGGCCAACTAAAGTGCCAAAGTTGCGACATGCATGGCCTTGCACAAGCAATGCTTGTTTAAACTTCATATAAATATGTATATTCTATTCAAAAGAAAATCAAGCTAAAACGTTTTGATTTGAACTGTGAGCTGACCTCGGTTTGAAAAAGCGGAGGGTGAAACGGCGCCCCTTTTTTCTGCCGCCGAGTGGGCAGTAGCAGCAGCAGGTAAAACCGTCTCGACATACGCACAACGTGCCGCGATGCGATCGCCGGTGGCATCTCCAGCGGCGCAGCCTCCAGACGTTGCGGTGCCGGTATCGTCGCTGGATACGTCCAAGCTCGAAGAAAAGTTTGCTGCTGTGAACAGAGACTTTGCCCGGGTCGCGATCAAGGGCAAAGATGACGCGATGAAGCTCCAGGCCAAAGTCAGCGACTGGCGTGACGACGTGAGCACGTTGGCGACGCATATCGCGTCGCAGCTCCAGTTCTGCAAGTCGTTGAGGACGAGTAAGGCCATGCCCCAACACGACGACGGGAGACAGCGCCAACGACGGCCCGGTACGGTCGTCTCTCGTCCTTCCTCCGTGCATGGAC